TTTTTTTTCTTTCCCCCTGACGCATCGCGGTCTTGATATTCAGAAGAAAAAATAATGATTTATAATAATGCAGGATAAAAAACGTATCGGCCATTTATAAAACACGAGGTATTTATATTAATGTCGCTAAAATTCACAAGACCTACGTAGTTCGGCAAAGTATTCGTGTTATTTTTACAAACCTCCCTTCCATGATATTCTACCACGTCGTACCAGTATGATTTTATCGTAGCTCGCGTGCAAAAAGAAATGAAAAAGTTTGTCTAAAGTATAGCTAGCATCGACGTGATTTAATTTGTTTAGTTATTTCTTTATGTTTTATTCGTTATTTTGTTTACTTCAGTTGTCTCTCTAAAGGAAAAAAAAAAGTATAGGCACGAGTTCTCCTAATAATAACTTATATAGATTTTGTTTATTTACACAACAAACAAAAATATTAATATCAGTTTGCTTAACGTTCAAATCAGTATAAAATATCACAGAGCATAGTACGAGAACGTCGATATATTATCGATTATAACGATCTTGTCGAGCGTCCTCGTGCTCGCACGTCGTCAACGCGCGAGTATACGTAAATCGCGCGTGCATATCGCAACTTTGCGTGTCTGAGCTCGTTAGAAGAAAAGAGAAAAAAAATGAGCTGAACAATAAGGGAAGAGTAAACAAAGATACACGGATAAGTAATATAAGTCTTCAGTTTTATTAAAAGAAAGAAAGAAAGAAAGAACGAGAACATTCCATTTAACAAGTATTTCAAAATATTATTCACAAATAATGTCGGACAAAATTATGGTATTACTATTATTTTGTTTTTCATATAAAAAGAAACATAAGTAAGGGGGTGGGGGCTGGGAGGTGGGTAGAACAAATGTATGGTCTAAAATCGTATTTGAGAACTTTGTTCATTAATGTTATGTATATATGCATACATTAGTTCGATCTTTATTAGAAAAAAGTAAAGAAAAACGTTAGGAAAGTGAAAGACTATTAAAATAAAATAACTATTAACGATCGTTTCGTTGAAGTAAGGAACTGAAAGTTAGCTTTGAGAACTCGCTCGAAGTAGGTACGGAAGATAAGGAAGATGGCTTTGGAAGAGAGGCTGCAAGAAGGCTGCAACGAGCCTTGAGTTCGCCCGTGCGTGCATTCCTGTCCGGTTTTTTCCCCCCCCCCCCCTCACTTTACTCACCTCTTTCTCTCTCTCTCTCTATCTCTATACTCTACCGTCGCCACCACCGTCATCCACCCCCTTCCCCCCACGCCTTTTGTCTTATTATTTTGTCGGCGCTCGGGCAACAGGTATATCTCTCTCTCCTTCCATACGGCACTCCTCTCGCTTGCTTGCGATCCCCGCATATAAACATCGCGGCTTTATCTGAACGTTTTATAGCGGAGGTCCTGGCAACCGACGAGGACCAACCAAGATCACCCTAAAGAAGGAACAAGAAAGAAGGAGATGGAATGAACCGACACGAACTCGTCTCTCTCTCTCTCTCTTTCTCTCTTTCTCTTTCTTACATTCTACACTCTTCTTCGTCTTCAATCTCTTCGTTTTCATCTTATTCTCTTTCCTCCAACTTCTTCGTCTATTCTGCCTCCCTTCTTCATCTACTTCCTGATCTTCTTCTTCTTCTTCTCTTTCTTTTTCTTCTTTTTCTTCTTCTCATTTCTCTCCTCCTTTTTCTTTATTTTTCTATTTTATTTTGTCGTTTCAAAGCGACACGATTCGAGTTTTAGGACCACTCGATGCGTCGATACGGAGGATCCTTGTTGCCGGTCATTCGGAGGATCGTCGTTGTCGTCGTCGTCGTCGTGGTAAAAAAAAAAAAAGAAAATGACTCTTCGTCGTTTGCATACTTCTCTTTCTCTTACATGTTTTCTCTTTCTCTCTCTCTCTCTTTCTGTTTCTTTCTTAAACCCTTTACCCTCGCTCACACCTACTCGTGATTCTCTGGAAATTCGGTTCTTCTTCGTTCGATGATCGGATTTCCTACCGCGAGATAGCGAACGAACATTTGCACCGGCGAAATTCGTATTTACTGAGATACGTTCACCTTCATTTCATAGCTGTTCGAAACATTTTAAGGAATCGTCTTATCTCTTTCACGATTAACCGATGATACCGAAGCAAAGAGGGTATTCCCCTTAATAGGTAATTTTCTTAGCTTCTTATTCGTAAAACATTCTATCGCAGCATGTCTCAATTCTGGCTTAAAATACTACCTTCAGATAATATTAGAAAATATAAATAAATAAAATGCACGAAAAGATCGAAAGTGTATTAAGATAAGACAAAAATTGATTGTTCTGAGAGATATATATTTTATCGATAGATCCTTAAATTCAAACTGAAATAATAATTTCATAAAATAGATTGGCTTGATCAAATATTTAAATAGTATTTACTTTTTAATTATATTATATGTTAAACGATATCAGATCGTTTAATCATTTAATGCGTATACATTTATAAATTGTGTTAACTATACAAGGTTATATAGTAATTTTTTTATTCTAATTAGATTTTTATGCGTATAATAAGTAATTTGGAAATTATTCTTTATAGCTTCCATTTTTCTATATTACTAAAAATATCGGCTGACAATTTTCGATACAAATTGCGTAATATCGATAACACGTGGACGCTTTCTCCAATGAGATAGCGTCGGTATTGTCATTTATTTTATTTAGATTTAATTTTTTACTAGGTCTCCTAGGTGGATTCTTTTGAGCCTTCTAGGGATATATTGGTTGTAGTTATCGTTGTGGCTAGCGGTTTTATGTCCGTATCAATTCTTCTTTTGTATTTGTAGGTTGTATGAGTGGTTTATAATCTACATGGTTTACCTTATCAGTGTTAATAGTGATTAACAGCTCGTATTTCTTTATGTCTTCATAACAAAGAATAGTTCGGTATCTCTTTATCTATATCCAAATTTCTATTTCGACTGATGTGTCAAATAACGTATCCATTATTTTCTTCTCTACCTTTTTAACGAGTTTATTCGGCCTTGGAACGAAATATATTTAGCAACAAAAACAAGCATTAAACCATTTCTAAGAACTGTTATCGTTCGCACACATATTTTATGATTAAAAAAGATATAAGCTTATTTTCTAAATAAAGGGTCTAGTCACGCTATTTGTTTTTCCTTTTTTTTAACGTTACGAACGTTACTTATCTACATTAACTTTTCTTAAATGAACTATTCTATAAATAGAAACATCGTTTATTTCTAAAGATAATTAGAAGGAAATATCACGATGGGTTACTCAGTTACAAGGTTACTCCGTAACCATGCGTTACTTTTCATACTTGATCGCAAGTAAAAGATTATTTGAAATTTCTGTGATGCACGAAGTTAAACAAGATTATCAGTAATATTACTTGAAACGCTGCCAGTTTCACGCTCGTTTCTGTCAGTCAAAACTGTACCATTACATTTGCTACGCGTTTTAGAATCGATCGTGTCGACAATACTTGCAAATATTTCATTGAAACTTGTTTCTAACTTTCATAATGTTATTTCTCATTAAGTGTTTTATTAACATATCGATTCGTATAAATTTTTTAACGATGGATTTATGGATTTGATCTCACTTAATTTAAAACTAATGGACAAAAATTGTAACGTAATACATTAAATTTATTTTGCAGACGTAAATTTATTATAACGTATGTTAATATAATCGTAATTTTTTTACAAGTAAAATTAAAATTCTAGGAAGAAGGGGAAAAAATAAATAATTATAATATGCTGCACAAGTATGTATTATAATGCACGATATAAGTCAAGTTCTATTGAAACTCGTAGACTGTATATATATTTATTTACATAAAATATCTTACAGTTTGGCTTACCTGTTCACGATAAATAACTTTACCGTCTTGACGTTGAACGATAATCAGGATGTTTATTAAAAACACGTTTTTTATGTAAACGTATGTTTCATGAACTAGGCGTAATTTTTTTTAACGTATGACGTGTTACGGTAAATTTCTAATCAACTTATCTGCAAGTAGGACAAACTAGTAGTTACACGCGTTTGCAATTTTAATCACAATGTAAAAAAATAGCCAAGTTATCGAACGAACAAAGAACAAAGGGAAAAAAAATTCCAAAATTTTGAAACAAAATTCTCTTTACTTATTCGAACACACGTAGACATTTAAAACAATTAAATAAAGGACAAAAAAGGGTGAGAGGATAAAATTTACTATACCTAACACTCGCACCCCACGGACCAGTTCGCTCATCGAACGAAATATTCAATCGAAAGATTTACGGACTTTGATTTTCGAAGAATGATCATTAGGATAAAAAGAAAGAAAGAAAACTGATTAAAATAATAAGGATGGTTTGGTGATGTTTGATCGAAGAAAACGCGTCAAAGATTTTCGTATAAATAGGTACTGTATTTTACATTTCGTTACACAGTTCAATAAATATCTTTCAAATATTATTTACATAACGGCGGGAAACAAAACAGTCGATAAGAAACGATTGACTCTTCGTCATGTAATATTTAGACAACATGAAAATTCGTACTTATTTTTGTTTCTTTTTTCAATAGTTACACATATTTTCACTATTTTATTGAATTCATTTTGAATTCATTTAATGAAGAAATCGCCATTCGACCAACGGTGAAGGATCAATCGGCGATTATTTTGAAAAAGAAAAACTAAAAACGCGATTCATCCGAGCGACGGCAGCTTCTCCACGCGAGTATAGACAATAAGAAATAATTACGTCGAAAGGAAATAAACGAATTAGTTTCCTGAAAAATAAAACGTCAACATAGATGTTAATTATGGCACTAACTCGTACGCGTGGCCGTTCATCGCACGATCACAAAAATCACTTATTATGTTTTTTATGCCGTTGATGTCTCCGAAAGGTGAACGCTTGCGAATGATAAACTAGGGTTCAATGTTGATTCTAGAAATCGATCAATCGTTCGAAACGTTTTAATATTTACGATAAAAATGTTTCTTCTTTTTTTTTGTTAACTAGAGTTTCTCCAAAGCCCGGCTATTCGTTAATAATTCTCTTGTAAGTCTCCAGACTTGTTTAGCTGCGTTCTCCAAGCCACTCGGTGATTTTCCTTTGAATAAATCGAGGTTAGGTAGGAAATAATGAGGACATCTTCGACATTGGAGACAAGAAATAAGTTGTAAGAAAATGCCATTGATTCGATCGCCTAGACAGGCCTCATCCCATTCTGCCTCATGAGGATGTTTTTCGCATTCGTAAAGTAACAAAGTTTTCATGTGATAACAGGTGACAGGATTTCCTGGTAAATCAAGGTGTCGATCCCTAAGCGTCTTGAGAATACTCAGACAACGTTTTCTACTAGCACCTTGGAGAAGTCGATTTTCGGCATCGATGAAGGACAACGCCCAAGCGTCGCCCTCCATGGCTGACTGTTTTCCCTGAAGTCCGATACATTCCTTCGAGAGCATATCAAAACCCTCTGCCTTTACTTCCGCAACAATATTCGGATGTGGCCAAGGTATATTGATGATTGGCCAATGTGAAGCCGATCTTGGCCATAATCCGGCGCACTTAAACGCAGGCGTAATTTGTACGATGTATCTCTCTCGTATCCGTAATTTCACTTCCGTCGTGTCTGCTATCATTTTGACCGAATCTCTATACGCGCACTTGTCGCATGCCTGGGCGACCAATGTTTGAAACCTCGATCGAATTTTTCTGGCAGACAGATATCCGCTCGCTGTTATAAATTCTACCCAAAGAGACATAGATCTTTTCCTACCGTCGCTAAGTTTCAATACAGCGCACCCAGGTAACGTGCCGTCATCGACGAAATTTAAAACACCCATTTGATTAAGATAAATAACGATCTCGAACTCTGTAGGTGAGATCACATCTAAACCATCGAATCGACCGTTGTAATCCGTCAAAGAAGAGATGAAACGAGGTTCTTGTACCTCGACTTCCTTCAATACATCTTGCACAACCCTGCAAACTTCTTGAATCGTTTTTGCCACTTGACTCTTTCTACCCATCACGCGTTCCCCGAAGTACTTGTTGATCTGGTACACCATTTTCGACTGAGCGGCCAGCATCTCAGCCGGCACCAACATTTTCGCACCGGGACCGGCCTGATTCGGCCCGGGCTTTGGGTCTTCAGAAATCCTTTAAGAAGCCCGGAGGGCTTCCCCGTTTTTTTCGACGATTTCGATCACCGCATTCTTAACCTTTATATATCGTCTCTTTTCTAATCTCGATTAATCTTCTATCAAAGATAATTCGATCGTAGGAAACACATGATCTCGTTCAATTTGTGTCTTGACAAAAAATGCTCCCCGTCTTTTACTTTTATTTTTGATCTCACCGAAAAATGTTTCTACGTACTTTTTAACGTTTCTCAAAATCTTTCTTATCGGAGACACGAACGATCCATGAAAAGGAGACGAACGAGCATCTCCGTTCAGGAGCAGATTGTCGACTGCGCTGCGTTACACCTTCGTAGATCCAATCGTCCTTCCTTGCTAGTCGGAGGCGTGTCAACTTTCTCGTTTGATCATGTTTCACAATTTGGTCACGCCCCCGGTTAGTGTTAACCCGACCAATCCTCGCTTAGCTCGACCATCATAGGGCGGAGAGTTCCGACGTCGACGCGAAACAATCGATCCGACTTTCCGACCACGCCACTCACCAACATTATCATACTCGCCTACCTCTAGTATATGCGTGTGTCCTTCGTACGTGTATGAATGGTTGTCGAGTTACCCTCTACTATCCAAAAACTCACCTTTCTTCCTTCGATTCTGATCCTTCTTATGGTTTTTCATCCCTAACTTAACCATAGAAATCGTAATTTCAATATCATCGCACTTATTTTCCCTCGATAATTAACTTCGATTTTTATTATTATTTTTTTTTTACCCTTTCTTTTTTTTATTCTTTTTTTGTTTTTTTTTTTTTGTAATTCTGCGAATGCTGAAATCATCGCGTAATGATTTCTGTCAAAAGTTTGATTCATTTAATCGTGAACAGGAAAGTTATTTTGTAATCTTGCCATGGGTGCGGCTTGACAAAAAGCGCTCTTCTAGATTGAAATTAACTGAAATATCTTTGATGGATAATTAAGAGGATTAATGATTCTCGTATTTTGTGGAATGAATCTCTCATTAAGTAATCTTTTTTCGGATTGATTTTTAATTCCTTGACTTAAAAGAAACTAATGCATTTATTTATAATTTAAAATGAGATAGGAATAATATTAATATCATATTGGTGATCGATTTTTTACAAAAGTTTTTAATTACCTTTTACAATATATTAAAGATAATAAAATAAATCTCAATTAAAAAATAATAAAGTCACGTGACACAGATAATTACAGTTAAATGTAAAAGTATTAACGAAATTCGAGATTTTCAAAAAAAGAAAAAGAAATAATACTAATTATTTAAGAAATTTAATTGAGACTTTCCCTTTTTGGAAGCAAATTCGGTAGATGCAACTACGGTAGCGATCGAGTTGCAGAATTCGATGAATTTGACACGCGCGACGAAGCACGAGAATTATCCGACGGGAGTTTAAACAGCGTCGTTCGAGCATCAATAATGGTAGGAAGAGAAATGTTAGGATAGAATTAAGATAGGAAGCCGACGTAATAAAATGCAGAAGGGTATAATAAAAATGATAATCGCTGCTATGTTGAACACCCAGTCGTTCTTTCGCAAGTACTTGATAACTATGTATTACGAAAACAATAATCATTACCCAGATTATGCTTGACCCTGATAAATAAAAATAAGTCGTTAATGTGTCACCGATTCTATCACAGTAGTATGTGAATGTTAAAAAAACGGGTACATTTTTTTTTTTATACATCGAGATAAATGCATTTATTATTTACATCGTTTTATAATTTTAATAGCGATTCGATTATGTAATAATAAATATAATTTAAATAATATCAAAAATTATTTACACGTAACAATGCTCAATGAAATCGCAGTTCTTTCTTTTGTCATATGCTCGATGATAAAAATGGTTTTATAAATGTTTTTTAATATTATTTATAAAATCTCTATAAAGAGACAGAATTACAGTACGCTTTGCATTGGTGTATAATAGACGTAGATAGGCAACGAGTTTAGTAAGAGAAAGTACAATTTCTGGCCTTAAAACCAAATATTTAGCGAAGTAAACGAAAAGCATTACGTTAAAACAAAAACTTTGACGTTTCGAGTCAAACATGTTTCCTACCTAAAGTAAGTAAAGATAATTACACTGAATGAATATAACGTTATTGCACGAAGTGATCTAGCGAACTAAAGTAAGGCTTTTATTTCAAGAATAGTTTATTTAGTGCATTTTCATCTTTCCTTTTTATCTTTGAAATATCGCGAAAGATATGTTGCATTTATGGAAGGATCGCTAAAGTTTCTCGAGAGCACGGCTGTTGGTCAACAATTCTCTGGTCAGTCTCCAAACTTGTTTGGCGGCGTTCTCCAAGCCACTGGGTGATTTTCCTTTGAACAAGTCAAGATTTGGTAAAAAATAATGTGGACATCTTCGACATTGAAGGCAGGAAATAAGTTGCAAGAAAATGCCGTTCATTCGATCTGCCAAACAAGCCTCGTCCCATTCTGCTTCAAGAGGATGTTTTTCGCACTCGTAAAGGAGCAAGGTCTTCATATGATAACTCGTAACGGGATTGCCAGGAAGATCAAGGTGTCGGTCTCTGAGAGTTTTTAAGATGCTCAAACATTTGCGTCGGCAACCACCCTGCAAGAGTCTAGTTTCGGCTTCGGTAAAACTCAAGACCCAGGCGTCTCCTTCCATTGCCGATTGTTTCCCTTGTAACGCAACGCTTTCCTTGGAAAGAAGATCGAAACCTTCAGTTTTGACTTCAGCGACGAGATTAGGATGAGGCCAGGGTATCTGTGGGATCGGCCAATGAGCTGCCGATCTCGGCCAAACGCCGGAACACTTGAATGCCGGGGTAATTTGAACAATATATCTCTCTCGAATACGCAGCTTCACCTCAGTCGTATCCGCTATCATCTTAACGGAGTCTCGATAAGTGCACTTGTCACATGCTTGGGCGACCAGGGTCTGAAATCTTGATCGAATCTTTCTCGCGGACAAGTAACCGCTCGCGGTGATGAATTCTACCCAAAGTGACATGGACCTCTTGCGGCCGTCGCTAAGTTTTAAAACGGCACAACCCGGCAGGGTGCCATCGTCGACAAAGTTGAAAACGCCCATTTGGTTAAGGTAAAGTACCACCTCGAATTCACCCGGCGAAATCACTTCTAAACCCTCGTAACGACCGTTGCACTCGGTCAATGAGGATATGAAGCGTGGTTCTTGGACCTCGACCTCTTTTAACACATCCTGCACTACCTTACAAACTTCTCTTATCGTTTTTTGTACCTGTCCCATACGTGCTTGGACGCGTTCCCCGTAATATTTGTTGATTTGATAAAGCATCTTCGATTGAGCCGCCATCATTTCTTGCGGCACCAACATCTTTTTTTTATCACTTACGAGAAAGTAAGAAAGAAGTAAAAATAACAATATAACAATAAAGATGAGTAAAAAGAATAAGAATAAGAATAAGAAGAAAAAGAATTCGATGATTGAAGAAATAAAAAAAAAGTATAAAAGACAGTAAGTATCTTCTCTCTTCAGCAGCTCACCAGCGAACAACAACAACAACAACAACAACAACCCTTCTTCTGTCTTCTCGTTCTGCTCATCCCGATGAAGATCGAGATTGTTCTCGTATTCATCCTATAATCGAAGACAATAGTCCTCCTTGTTGAATAAAAACACACAGCCCGATTAGATGGGTTTTCTCGATGGGAATCTTATAGAGCCTTTTGGTTGTTTAGTTAGGCTACGAGGGGTTAAGAGAAAAAGCAACGGCAGGTGCTCGTTCTCTTGTCCGCGCGTACGACGTTCCTCGACGTCGGCGACTCGAGTCGTGGGCCGCGCGCGCGATCGCGCCGAACACCGCACGTTCTCACTCGCTTCCTCGTTCGCGGATAAACAAGAGTGAGAGAGTGAGAGGGAAAGAGGAAAAGGGGTCCGTTTCCGACGCGCCACAGCACGCCGGCTTCGAACTCGATCCGCCTTTGTAACTTCGTTCAGTCCCGCCTTTCGAGTCGACGCACAACTCTCCGTGAGTTTTGAGCGTGCGCCTCTGTTCTCTCTCGCCACGCCTACCCTCCTCTCTCTATACCTCCTCTACACTTCCTCTACACCTCGTCTCTTCTCATGCCACCCCTTTACCGCACGTTCTCTCTCTCTTTCTCATTCTACTCACCCTCTTCCTCCTATTTCTTCACCGCCATGTCCACTCTAACGCCGCGTTCACCTCTTATTTATTTATTTAATTTATTTATTTAATTTATTTATTTATTCATTCATCGTGGTTGTCGTAGTTGACAGTAATAAATTCACTGCTTCATATCAACAATTAGGTTTTTTTTTACTAATTGATATTTCTAAGTCGGTGTCTACTATTTATACTATCTTTTGGATAACTACCATTGTTCTTTTTCTTTTTGAATTTTCTTACAGTATCTTTCTTTTTTTTTTTTCTATATTACCCTTTTTAATTCTCTTATCGATGCGACAATGTATCCATTTTTTTTTACTTATTCTTTTGTTGAATTCATTGAGTTTTGCAAATGAGTGTCTTAATTATCAAGAATATTTGAACATAATATTGCGCTGACGTGTTTTGCATTCGCCCGTTTATCTAATTAAATCAAACGGTTCGTCGCTCGTTCTTTACCTTACCAAATAAATTCGACCTCTTATTTTAGGTTCTTATCGTCATAGAGACTAACATAATAAAACAGTTGCCTACGCCTCCAAACGTTGATCGTGTATTCTAGGTATCTTTTCTTCATCGAAAACTTTCGTCGCTTCTCAAAATACCCATATTAGATTTTTCTTTCAGGTAAAAAGCAGATGCGCCCGTACGGAAAACAGCTTGCACGCGGAGATTGTTCCTTATAGATCACGTTCAAAGAAAGTATCTTTCCTGTCGGTACAACAAAGAATATTTAGATATTTGTTTGATAATATATCTCTTTTGTTAGTGCAGTTTTTATATATATATATAGGGGAGTATATTATACATTTTTTTTATAAATTCGATTGTTTCTTTTTCCAGTTAGAGTAGTCTTCTCTATAAAATTCTGTTCTGAGTTTGCAATGTTTTCTCTTTCTTTATCTATCTCTCTCTTTTACTTATAAGAGATTGCACTCGTTAGGTCGCGTTCGGACGGCGAGTAATCGAATAAAACTCGAAAATCCAATCTACTCGGAGTCAGAGTGGTAGATTGGTAACAGTCCCGGCAGTCCCTGCTTCGTTTTCTCTCACTAATGCGACTTGATTCATGAGCCATGCTACTACGTTCGTATTCCACATTTTCTCTTTCTCTCTGTTTCTCTCTCTCTCTTTCTCTCTCTCTTTTTCTATATGTCTCTCTTGTTGCTAGATAGTCGAGGGGTCAAACGCTCTGCTACATCAGCGCTCGCATTAAGGCAGGACCCGAGGGTTGCCTTGAGCACCCCTAAATGTGCCTTTCATCATCCCATTCTGACTTAATTCGTTTATCATCTGAATTATTTGTACACCCCCACGAGAGACGCTGTTCAATTTCTTAACCATAGATACCGTATGGCAAAACAATTCTTCACGTGTATTATACCATCCCATAATGTTTTTCAATTGCATATCGGAATAGAAATCGTAATTGGAAATTTCGATACATTACGTAGAATATTTTTATTCATATTTCAATGAGTATTTTTACTAGATTAATAATCGAATGAATGATTTGAAAGATTTCATCATTTCAGAAATTGTATACTCATCGACGGATCTTTCTTTTTTACTATTATATTATTTTCGGTATTATTGTACCAGAAATTTACCGATGATCTTGATCTTCATTATTGGAATGTTCTAAAGTAGATAGGTATAGTGAAAAAGAGCAGCCATGACGAAAGGTTATTTACTGAAAATGCTTCCTTTTTCCTGAAAAAGAATGCAGGTATATGTCGAACTTTTGGTTTCCAGTTACACCGGTGATCTCTATATTTCTTTTTCTTCTTTACGATTTCTTTTATAAAAGTTTCTATATAGGAAAGAAACAATATGGAACATTTTCGATAGAAAGAGGGAGAGAGGGAAAGGTACAGGGATGAAGATAAAAAGGCGGGAGGGTACCAGTTCGTCTTGTATATGAACTCAAACGAACGTACTCGCGTAATCCCAAATAATCCCCTACTCGTTGAGCTCTGTCAGCCGGCAAAGCCATTGGACGTTTCTGATTTGAAGTTCGGAGCACCTATTTCACGGTACGCCCGTTAAATGATACGAAAAAAGAAATCCTTACAAATTGCGATCTCTTGATCCATTTGAATTGCCCTTTTTATCGTGATTCTTATTTTTTTCTTTCTAAATTCTTCGATCGATTGTTGCACGTAAGAATTCAATTTATCTATCATTGTAAGAACCATTTGTTTATGACTGATTTATCGACAAAATTATTAGTACCGTATTTATTACCATATTCTATACATTTTTTTTTATACTTTCCAACTTCAATGATATCGTATATTAATTACTTTTTAATTACCAGAACAATATTTCCTATGTCGGATTAGAATTAACATAAGGTTTTCACGCATCTGTTGCCGGAAGTAGATCGTATTATTTACTATTTTACCTCGTTTATGCGATAATTTATTCGGTAAAGCTGGCACGAGTTTAACGAAACATAAAACATGATGTTTAGTTTTTGTATAATTTTAACGCGATTATAGTTACTTTGTTAAATTGAAAATTGTTTTGTCGATTTGTTTTTTTATCAATAAAATATTAACAAATGTATAATTATAATCGTGTTTGTATCCTAGATTTAGTAACGTGCGGTCCTTTTCATTTTCTAAATGGCGTAATGTGTTATGTCGAGTAAGATAGGAAAAGGTAGGTAATAAAGGTATGAGAATACGCACGTGGCACACATAACTCATTGTCGCTTGGGATCGACGCAATGGTTCCCGAATGTTTTGTGCATTAGTTGCCTCATATTTTCAAGGTAAACGAATGTGTACATTTTTTTTGACATGATGCGCTTATTACCTTCCACATTTTCAATTTCAACTTGATCTCCGAAAAATATCTTTGAATTTATTTATTTATTTGTAATGTAATTATTTAAAACAAATACAATATTAAACACTTTGGTAAATTAGAAATTCGTAAAAAAAATTTGTTTTTTTTAAAACAATAAAATTAAAAGATATTTACAATATAAAAAATTCAATAGACGACCAATGAATAAAGATCTATTTTTGCACTATAAACAACCTTAGAATCTTGCCATACATTGTTCCATTCAGGATTATCATCGGCCCAATATCCGACCACACCGAAGTATCGTGATTTGGAGTAGTTAGCACTCGAAGAAATCGAGAGGGTGCTTGAAAGATGAAAAGAGAGCAGTTCGAGTAGGGTGAGAGGGGGTGGGAATGGTCCCTCCAAAGGGATATGGTCCCTCCATTATTGTCCAGCACTTAATCTGTTTGTTGTACACACCGATGAAGGACTCCTAAGTGGTTCCCCATTCTATAGGGTGTTCTATGGTGGTGCATAGAGGCGAGAGCAAAACGAGACCTAAAAAGACAGAGAGCGTTAAGAGAGAGAAGCAGCGAGGGGCCAGGCCTCTTCTTGCGAACGTGACACATGTTGTTACATCACGTCACCCATTGTCATCGTGCGCGAGCACCGGCATACCGCTGAGCCAAGCATGGTTTCGTTCGATGATAGACGAGCTGTTGCATGGGGAGCACTAATCGTGTACCACTTGACACCTCTAAAGGACCTTCCTTTTTTTAAACGTTTTGAGCGCTATTTTGACGGTTATGTTTTTGGGTACGCAAACGATAGACACTTATTTATTTTCTTCATTTACAGTATATTTATATCTTTCTTTGTCATTTATACATAATCAGGTAGGGAATCAGTATATTATTCGTATTAGTCTATAATTATACACAGGATGAAAAGCTTTAGAATTTCTAATTGGAATTGCTTATTTTTGATTTTGTTCAGAATTTATTCATGTGTAATGTTTCTTTTCTCTCGAGGTTGCGAGACGTCAGTTTTGCCTTAATTCATCATGACGTATATTTTTACGCGAGTAAACTGTATTCATCATCGTCGTATAGCGATGTCACTCAGCTCTCCTTTCTCATGAACAAAGTTACAAAGATGAAAAAACATCTTCCTAATTGCGTTGACTTTTCTTCGCTCTCGTTGTAATAAGAAATGAGTGAGACTTTTTTTTTTAGAATTTTTACCAATGTTCAAAGAGATTTTTGACTTTTCATAATGTTTTACGCTTATGTATTATCATGCCATTGATTTTAATTAACTCGACGTGCTTGACATTCGCAACGAATATGAAAAAAATCTCTTTGTTTATGTAACTATATGGTTTTTTTTATTTATGTTTGTTCCTTTAATAACACTTACGTGATTTATCTATATATCCCACAGTTCAGGTATCTAAATAATACATGCCATGGCACGATTCGGTCCTTATCAATTTTTCCCAGTGTTTGCGATGAATTGCGTACGCGCACGCGCATCCTCAGGGGTTGGATTTGTACCTACCCTCACCCTCGATCACTCCCCTCTTCTCCCAATCCCAATCTTGCGCATTACGAATAGATACCGCTGAACTCCAATAGTCCTTTGTGTATATTACAAATCGAGGATCTATGAGTAAAGAACGGTGATTAAATATCATCGTTTAATTATTTGACAGATTCCGCGATGAATATTGAAACACCAGTGATTATAAAATCTGTTTTATTATTTAATTTTCTTTTTACATGTAAAATTTAATACAACACTAATCTTGATTTATATGGAAACCGCATAATTATTTATACTGCAATAAATACTCGCTTTTGCCATTCGAATTTTGAGTGGCGAGTATATTTACTCTTCTCACGTAGATGTAACGTTTATGGTCCCATGAGGGATTCGAAACGGCTTACATTCTCGTAATTGGGTTTTGACGTGCGTGTAGTACGCGTGGCACCCTAATGTCATCGCTAGTCTTTACGTTAGTATCCGACGGACTGAAGATCGCGCACGCACGTCAAGATGTCCTTTTTTTCTCGATGCGCTGATTCGTCTCGACGTCTATTACTTCATCCTGTGTTCGTGGCTTTCCACGGCTTTCTAAGCTCGTGAACGACGTAACTACATTTCGCGAAATTAAATTAATATTTAGAACAAATAATTTTATATTTTTTTTTACAATCCATTTATATATAGAATGATTGAAAATATCCTTAAAATTAGCGATGAGAAAAATTAATTATGAAGGAAATTTGTCGAAAATGTAAAATATTATTAACGTAAAATCTCTTCAAGGGTAAACGTATAATTAACACTTTATCACTTTAATGATGATCAGATATATTCCTCGCTCAAAATGAAGAAAATCTAGAATTAATAATTAGAAGTTTGATCAATGAATATGAGAAATAGTGGATGCCCGGTAAATATATCCAAGATCAAATATACATCTATCGGAAGAGAATATAGTGATCTGACATTGTACGATGCAAGAGTCATAAGCTCATGTAACAAATATATTTATCTAGGCACCTAAATTAATATCAGTGAAAGAACTGAAAAAAGAAAGCGAAGAACGAATTTTCAAAGGAAAAAAAATGATTGAAGCTCTCAATTCATTATTATGGTAAAAAAATATTTATTTTATAAAAAGATTTCTTCGATGTAATTTTTAAAAGTTTTGTCTTTTATGGCTGTGATACTTGGCAACTGAATCCAACATCTGAAAAATAAACTTCTTTTTATTTTATTTATTTAGAAACACATATTTACTTGATAATATATGCATAAGATATTTCATTTAAAAACGCGTCAGACCTTCATTAATTGTAAAAGAATACTATAAAATAAAAATATTTATAAACGTTGTTTCTATCATTCGGATTTTGAATTGTTACAAAACCAAGCGAGCGTTAATTTTTATCATATGCGATCTATAAAGTGTTAAACGTGAATATAAAAAAGTTAATATTAAGGTGGTAAGACAAGACATTTTATTTTACTGAATCAATGATAGGATATATCCTTAATTAGAAAATAACGAAGCGAGCTGATTATCTCGAATATAATTCGATTTGCGAGGCGCGAGGATATCTCGAGCATCTTCGATGCGTCCTCGTTAAAAGGGAAAAATGGAAGGAAGGGCCTGTTAGATTACGGAACGGTAAATTGGGGATCCTCGAGGACAGGCAGGCTCTCTCAGTCTTGCACGCGTATACACAGACCCTTCTTCTTCTTCTTTTTCTCCCTTCCTTTCTATCTTTCTCTCTCCTTTTTCTTTCACTTTCTTTTTCTCTCTTTCTTTCTTTCCCTTTTGCCAACGGGTTGTTGTTCGCGACTCGTTCGAAGAGCGCAAGTCCGCGAGGTCCTGGGATCGATTCCCGACTCAGCAGGAGGCTCCTCCTACCACGACGGCCATCTTGCGAACGGCACTGGTCTCATTATATCACATCACACTTCACTGCATCCAGGTTACATACTTATGCGGTCGCATATTCATTGGAATACCTTTTCTTCCAAGGTTTACCTTTTTAATCTTATTCCCTTATAATGTTATTCACGAAAATAGTTTGAACTTTGTAATCCTTTACCGAAAAATCCTTGAAGTAAACGAATTATTTTTTCTTGATAATTTGTCGTTAAAGTATTCATCATTTTCGAAAGTCCTCTTTTGGAGATCTATGTGTATACTATTTATTTAAAAATAATTTAATTTCTTTTTATATATATATAAGAACAGCTTAATTTTATATAGAATTTATCTGAAAAATAATGTAATTTCTTTGAATGTGTTATTCGAACCATAATTTGAATTTTATCATTTTATAATGAATGATTCTTAATATCGGAAATAAACTAACATTTATTTTCTATAAATTCTCTACTAATATTATAATTTAATCTTGGAGTACAAATTATAATTAGTTTTATAATTCCTGTTTCTTATTATTTATTTTATTGTACTCGTATATATAATATAACTAACTAGCTACTTGAGAAAAGTTTTATTTCCAATTAAAAATCCGACATACAGATACAGGATAATGGTTGATAAGACTTGATTTAAATTTTACGTAACATTAATGATATACTATCGTGGCACTTTAACTTATCATAATTAATAGAATTCGCATTAGATTAACGAACGATTTATTTCTCTCGCAATGTTTTTTTAATGTGTTCATAGTACACCTGCGTTGAAGCTAATTAACGAACGGCTTCCTGTTCGTTTGTATATACTTTCTGTGCTACTTGTTGCAATTATAAAAAATTTTCTCACTGAGATGACAACTGCTTTACGATCGAAGTTTTATCTTACCAAAGCGTTTGTATCAAGCTATGTATGAAGCGATAAACATAATTGATTATCCGCTGTATCTTTCGTATTATCGATAGACAACAGTAAATCTGAAAGGACAAAGTCGAAAAAAGCCACTATCATTTAAATCCATATTACACATTTAAAATGACGTCGAAGGAAATTGGATTTTATTTCTATCGGTTACATTATTCAAACGAGATAGTATCTCAACAAAATAAATATCTATTTCGTCCAATATACTTTATCTTTATTTTAATTATGTTTTAGGTATTGAAATACTGCGACCATCTACACGGAAAATGGTACTTCTCCGAGGTTCGAGCTATCTTCTCTCGTCGTTATCTTCTCCAGAACGTAGCGATCGAGATCTTCCTTGCGAGCAGAAGTAAGTATTCGAAAGAGAAACTAATTCTGTTTTTTTCTTCCTTCCTTTCCTCCCCGTTCCTCTTTTGTTATACTTTCAACGCTTATAGGATCCACAGAGATCTCCGAAATGGAATCGGGAGAGGCACACGCATTCCTTTTCTTGTTCTTACTGAATCCGTTCTACGTTATTTCACACGTGACGCGATCTAATCCCACGACGAGTGTCGTCGACGGAATTCTGGGCTCGCCGTTAGGTGTGCGACCCCTTCGCAGTTTTTACACAATAAATATCCTTACCGGCCTCGTGGTATGTCTTTTTCTAAGATCGATTTATTACAAGCCCGGAGATTTTTCAACGATTTAACGCAAGCACCTGCCTTTCGCTCCAAATGAAATGATCCTTTTCTTTTCTTTTCTATTCTTTTTTTTATTTTATTTTATTTTATTTTATTGTAAATACGTTCCTCAATCGATCGAACGAATCTATTTTATAATGAAAAACACTATAAAGATAGGACAGATTGATTTAGAAAGATTTTTTAAACGTAATCTCCAAGTATTATTATCATAGTAGGGTACTTTAATAACAATAAGAATAAGAGAAAGGAGACTGAGATGGACTTTTAATGTAGGTGAATCGTGTTGTACCTGCCGATCCTGCTGAGACTTCCCCGCTGATTATTTCTACGAAGCGTAGATAAATTCTCGAGCGTCGTCCGATTTTAATCTGATCTTAGGAGTTCCGATGCGTCGTGAAACTTTAAACGGTGGAATGTCATCCGTAGCGAGGTGGAAACCTCGGTGGTTCGTTAAAAAATCACTGGAAAGGCGCGTTCGTTAAGACAAGAAAAAGGGGAAGGGTAGGAGGGTGGGGAGGATGGAAGGTTGGAAAAAGAAGAGAGTAAGATGCTGGAAGCCACGGTTGGATCTCTCTTACGATAAATCGTCGAATAATAAAAAACATCGCCGGTGGTTAAGTTACTTTATACGTCGGGTATTACCCTTACGGTAAGGGCATGGATTTGAACGTTTAACGGCACGGCACGCTTGGTATCGCGTTTTCTAAAAAGAAAGAAATAAAATGTAATATTACGTACGATTACAGCTTTGCGACACGCCATCTCGTCGTGATCGTCTTCTCGAAGAGACCAACATCTCGTCGAATTTTTTGTTTCTTACTTTTTCTTCCCTTTTCGTTCTTAGATCGTTGTATACACGATCCTTACCAACGACGTTATTAATTAACACGCGAAAGAGACGAGGTAGGCTCGCATTTAACTAACGATTATTTGCGTATTCGTTTGGCCGATTAAGTTTCTCGGCGGAAGGTGCGTTGATCGGCTAAATATTGCGAGCTTTTAATACAATCACAATCGTACCGACAAAGCTAATGCGAAAGAATCCAGATCGTTATTAATTAATCGATTACCTTGGTTGTTAATTTTCATTTTTAATGGATAGATACTTGTACAAATAAAAACGATCATTGGAATTTCGTAATTTTATCATATCCGATTAAAATAAAATACAAAATTATAATTGATATTTTTATTCTTCTAAGTAGTTATATAATGAAGTTTAATGAAATAAGAATTGTTTCGCTTACGTCCGTTGCTTTTCGCGAACTTATTCCTTCCATCCTGAACTACTACTACTCTCTTAATTAAAGTCATCTTTTATCCCTTATTTTAGCACAACCACTGACTCATAAATTAGTAGTAGATATTTATGGCAACTGTCTAATAAAACGTTACCCTTTGAACTCTCGAGGGAGTTGGCCGGCATAAACGAAACGGTTCAAACGAAACCCTCTTCCACCCTCTTGCGTGCTCTTACGAACTAAAATGCTGTTCTATGTGATTAACATGTTTCTCGTACCATTAATATCTTTATCGTATTAAGAACAAGGATAGAAAGAGAAAGAGAGAGAGGAAGATTTGTTTTAAATCGTTATTTTACAAGAGCGAAATGTTTGGACTATTAAAGATGGATGGATATTATATTATCAAGAAATATTTCTATCCAAACTTCATCTTAGAAACAAAACAATCGATCTACAATATTAAATCTCGAATGAAAAGTCAATAAAAATGTATCGATTATTAAAGAAAAATGAAAAAAAATATAAGATATTTCCCCTTATCGATTCCTATTGCTTCGAAGAAATAATCAACGAGATCTCGTCCGCCCATCCATCCCATTCGCTTGTTGAAACTATGCCGCCGACTATAATCCTCGGTTTAACGCCTTTTTGTCAACAGCATCGATCCTGTTCGCGTTCCCGGATCAGACGACGGTGAAAAAGGTGATCAAGGCGCTACCGCGAGTCGGCGTTGGCATCAAATACGGGATTCCGCAGACTAGGTGAGTACCGAAAGCCACACGAACAAATAGACCGAGAGAGGAAGAGAAAGATCGTGCCTGTGTGTGTGTGTGTGTGTGTGTGTGTGTCTCGTTTCAGAAACGAAAAGACTCCTTTTGTAACTCAGTCTCCAAGTTTCTCCGCCGATCTCCAACCGATCTTTCGTTGGATATCGTCGGCCACGTAGTTCGTGTGGAATGAACACGCTCGATGCATTCCGTGTTTCCTTTGTCTCTCTTCTCTCCCTCTCTTTGTCTCTCTTTTTCTCAGACGGACACTCTAACTCAGGGACGGATTAAATCTTTGAACATATATCGTTCTTTCTCCGCCGACCGTGCTTCCTCGATTTATTTATTACATTATTCCCTGTTTCACATAAAAACTAACAAAAAAAAAAAAGAAAAAAAAAAGAATACAAGCGCGAGTAAATTGATTTCATATGATCGAGGTAGAGGACTTCAAAATCTATTCGTGTTTCGTAATAGATTTCGAAAATTTTATAGTTACTAATTCTCGTGTAAAGAATTTTTTATGGATCGCTACCGGTTATCTTTTCTCTCGTTGATTTTTATTATCGATTAAACATTACTTTAATGATATAAAAATGGATATTTTGATTTGCTTAAACATTTGACAATATTATTGTCATTTTTTTTCATGAAATTTTGTAAAATACGAAATATTAGAAAATCGATACATTCGATAAGCCGTCCCTGTAAAAAAGACCTACCAACAACCTCTTTCCCTTTCTCTCTCTCTCTCTCTCTCTCTCTCTCTCTCTCTGTGTAACCGTTGTCGCGAGTATTCCGAAGAGGACTCGAGAGCTACGATACGCCTATATTCCAACCCCTTCTCTTCTTTCGATCTCTCAAACAAGGAGGAAGAAATAAGGATAGAGAAAAAGAAAGATAGACAGAGAGAGTGAGAGAGAGAGTTAGAGGGTGGGGGAAGCAAATAGCGGCGAGAACAGAGGTTTCGCGTATCCGCGTTTCGGGCCATCCATTAAAGCCCTCTTACGTACGGGAGAAACGAAGTAGAAGAAGAAGAAGAAGAAGAAGAAGAAGAGGAGGAGGAGAAGAAGAAGAAAAAAGGCTTTGAATCGGCGAGAAGGATACGCCGAACCATAAATATACGGCAAAGTCCTTACATCCGACGTCTGATCCAAACTCTTTCTTTCTTTCTCTTTCTCTTTTCTTCTTAACTCTTCAGTCCTCATTGGAAAAGGAGAAACAATGGGAGGTGGTTTATAAAATCTATGATTCTCACTCGACTTGTATCTTATGTGCTGCTCCTTCTTTACACGAAACTGGATGAGAACGAGCGAAAGAAATCGAGAGAGAAAATAAATAAATAAATAAAACCAAAAAAATAAAAATGAAAATATAAAAAATAAAAAAAAAAGAAAACATTCGAAAAAAAGATAAGAGAAACCTCGAGGATCTTTTCTCCTTCCGTATCGCGAGAGTGGATCGTCGAAGGAATGCCGAACCCAGGCCGTATAATGAAAACGTTATATCGCGCATTCGCGAGGAGCTTTTTTGCGGCTTATCGATCGGATCTGGATCGTGCTTAGCATCGAACTACTTCGCGAAGAAAGATAGATATAGAAGGAATGAGAAGGAATTTTGTCCTTTCCCTCGTTCTTGAAGTAAATCCTATCCTTTTATGGGAATCTTAGCGAGAAAGGATGGTAAAAGTAAAAATAAATATAAATAAATAAACCACAATATAAAGCAACCAATGAAATAAGTTTTTTTAATGATTTGTTTTATATTTATTATATAAAACGACCAACCAATACGATTCCAATGAAATTTTAATAAGAATTCATGTATGATGCAAGGACGCACTGTATGCCACTTTTGTATTTATATTGAATTTATCGATTACGAGAACAGATTATTAATGAAAATCTTTATAAAAATAAGATAAATGGATCTTATTCTTGATGTATTATATCAACGTTACACGATAACTAATATCTTTCCTATAAACAATAATTACACTTCAAGTTTTTAGAAACAAGTTCGTGAGAAACAATTTCTACTTTTAAAATTCGTTTGCCGGGCATCGTAATACTTATTACAACACATTGCGTACAGCTTATTTATTCTACTTGCTACCAATTATATTTTACTTTTGAATAATCGTAAAATTTATTTTTATTTTGTTCTTTTTAGGAGAGCATCGATGATGTCGCCGAGACAGTTGATGAGAAGTTCTAACATGACACAGAAATGGCAGCGTCGGGAAATTTCCAACTTTGAATACTTGATGTTCCTAAATACGATTGCTGGTAAGTAACATCGATAACGATTAGAAAGTTAATTATAAAAATATTCTTTGAAGATAACAATAATTTTTGTTTTCTTACCAATCCTATACACGACAAAAGTAACTTGTTAAGTTATTGGCTTCTAAAATTTTTTATTAAATACATGCTTAAATACATTTTTTTATGTTTAATGACAATTAAATTATAAAAAAAAGATGCTGCATTAAAAACATAGAACATTATCGTCATACAATTAAATTGTCACGTATCAAGTTTTTGTATACATCCACAGATTTGTTATAGATCGTTTAAACGTGAATTGTCACGAATCGAATAACAAATATTGATGTTGATGTTTTATATAAAAAATGAGAAATAGAGAAAGAGAGAGAGGGAGATAGACATAAAAAAGCATAGAAAAGAGAATACAAAAAGAGAGGGAGAAGCAGAGTCGAGCTTTTTATGGCTGCGCACGGGCGGATGGAGTCTGTCGTGGCGCATTAGGGATGTTCTCAATCAGCCCTCTGTTCCTTTAGCTACCCCATGCGAGTAATCCCTATGTCGTGGGCCCTGGTAATCCTCTCCCTAGGGACTCACCGACTCTCTTCCTCAGTTTCGGCTTCTCCGCGGCGACCCTCCAAGCGAGTTCTCGAAGCTGCTTCTTTGTTTCTTTTTGGTTTTAATATCGGCTTCCCTCGATGCGGTAGTCGAAATCACGAAATTCGAGACGTTGCCCTGGAGGTGGTTTGACCTTCGATGCTACCCCTTTTCTCATGCCTTCCTTCATGATTTTCTAAGGAGGGATTAATATTTTTCAACGTTTGCGAGATCGAATTATAAATCATTAGTATCATTTCCTTGTCAGTTGATTTCATCAAATATTTTCAATTATTATTTCGTTTATTTTCATTCCAATGATATTTTTAATATAGCAATGTTCACGAAGCTATAAAATGATTTAAATATTAAACTCGATGGAACGGTTAACAAAAAAATGCATTTTCAAAAATAAAAAGATGTTACACGATCGAAAAGTATATCTATTTTCTTATCGATAATGAATTAATGAGGGAGCACGAAATAATAAGAATCATGGCATAAAGTTTCAGTTCGCCCACGCTGTACCACGCTTTCTTTAATGACGGCAATGATCACGGATGGGTAATTATTCGTATTTCGGCGTGCGAAAGCCGATGCCCAGAGGGTGGTCCCTTTCGCTATTTACGAGCATTATATATTAATTGCACGAATAAATAGCACACTTTACAAGATGGAATACGAAAAGGAAAATAAAGAGAAAGAGAAATGACGATAGTCTTTTAATAAAACCGCCATTCGCATCGTCGATTCTTTCATATCCTTATGAACGAGCACGGGGATCTCGTGTTATACGACTTTCTTCCTATCGGTTTGTTTGTTTCGAATTAATTAAGGTAGGATCAGACGTAAATTTGACGATGACGCGAACGTTCTTTCGGTGTGGCAATGAAAGTCGAGATGAGCCAGGCAGTTTGAGCTTGGAAACAAGGTGGCCCAGAGTTTTGATATGCAAGTAAGCGGGAATAGGTGCCACTTCCGACTGAACATTCATGCAATTTATTTTTCTAACTCCTTTTCAAAATTTTTTATTTATATTTTATACCCAATTTAGAAATTTTCATCTAACTTTAAAATATTACGGTTCGAGTACGCGCTTTAGATTAATTTTGATATTTAAAAATAGTTTATTTTTTAATATACAGAAAAATCAGATAAGTCTGTTCGTCGTAGATTTTTTTTTATCGTTGTTTTTTTTTCTTTTGACTTTTTATTTTCTTTCTTTTTTTGTTTGTTTGAAAAACGTATACACGTTTGCCTAAATCTTAACACCGGCTGGTTAAGAACGAGCTTGTCTCTTTCGTCGCGTATCGTACTTATTATAACGTCGCCTTCTCGCGCGTTGAAACACGAGGGAAAGATAAAGAGATAAAAAAAAAAAAAACAGAAAAAAAGAAACGGAATAAAAAGATGAAAGGTATTCATATATTATGCAGGGTGTTTCAAAAATATTTATTATAATTATTAAAACTTTTACTCTCTACAAAGTTCACGAAAACTCTAGAACCTTTTCAAAGATTACAAATTTATCTTTATCAACAATGAACATTTTTAATTGAGAAACACGACATGTTAAAAGCGTGAATACCTTATCGTCAATTACAACAAAACAAATGAAATGAAATGTATTGCATCGTATTGTTTATAATGTAACGAATATTACAAATATATTTGTTAATTGATCGAAATATTTATTACAACGAATGTTAATCTAATTGAAAAATGTTTCGCATTGTAGAAACTTTATCGTTACTAATTTAATGAAATAATTTTAAATGTGAAAACAGGGAGAAAGTTTACATTTAGAGAAAGAGAATAATAATAATAATAATAATAATAATAAGAAGAAGAAGAAGAAGAAGAAGAAGATACGTAAAAAGACAAAAGAAAGGTGGAAGGATTCGAGTGCGAATCCGAAGAAGGGAGGGAAAGCGTGAGGGCGGAGGGCAAAGAGACATTCCGGTTGTCGAGTGGAGTTCCGAGAGCACTCGCTCACGGCGACGCTACCATTAATAATGACTTTGATGCATAACGCGACCATGCTATTATTCAAGCCGCCGTCCGCGTCTCTTTCTCGGTCCGAGTTCTCTTCCTACGGACCTCCCTCCACACAACCCTCTTCTATTCCCTTTCTCTTACTCTTTTTCTCCCTCTTGGACTTGGTTCAGGATTTACGGCGCATTGTAGCGACGACGGGACGCGCCTGTCTTTCGCGGTTGGAGCTTCGACGCCGCGAAAAATTCCTTTTATTATCCTCTTTTTTTTTTCTTTTATTTCATCATTCAACGCTCTCCGGTAACTATTTAGCGAACTCCGTTTTCATTTGAATGCTTATGCATTGTACATAAGTACCTATTTATGTTAATATACAACTCATACAATTTGATTTATAATTTATCATAATAATTATTTGTTTAGAGTAAGAGATTATTTTCTTTTCTTAAAATAAAACAATTCACTTAAACAAGCAAAAAGATTCGCGTCCTGTTCGCGATGAAACGTTACGAGTCTGATGACGAACTTGCTGACGGGCTTTAATTAGCGACAAGGAAAGAGATTAGACGAACTGGTAGGAGTAACTAGCGCGGACTTTTGCCGTCACTAATGCATCTCGGAATGGGATTCCGTTGAGGGCTCTTCTTCGAGAAAGGAGGAGGGAGGGTGGGAGTTAGGGGGGTGCTTGCCGACAATTTCAGGAGCGATTAGCCGTCACGCTCTGAGTTATGCGTTTACTAAACGGAGCACCGTGGCCCATTGAGAGCAGAGACTCACTTTTCGTAAAAATAGAGCTTGCCTAGCTATCCTCGTTTATCACCCACGATACTCTCTCTTTCTTTCTTTCTCTTTCTATTGGTCGCACGCGTGCTAGTAGTAGATACGCGAGGGTGGCTCGCGCCTAAGGTCGAAGAAAAAACTGGCCCAGTTATCTTTCTTCTGGTTTAAAGCCTCCGACGTTCGTACTCCTTCTATTTTTGGGCCTCCTCGGAATGAGATTTAAAAATGAAATCGTCAGCGAGCTACCTACGTGGCGGCACTCTCTTTTTTTTCCTTTTCTTTCTTTTTTTTTTTGTCAAGTATAAAAGAAACATGTTTTTCCCGCATTAAATAAAGAAAAAAAATCTTTGTTCGTTCGTTCGAATTTAATTTAAGTTTCTCGTTTCAGGTCGAACTTACAACGATTTGAATCAGTACCCAGTTTTTCCTTGGGTTCTGACTAATTATGAAACTAAGGAACTCGATTTGAGCTTACCCAGTAATTATCGCGACCTGTCAAAGGTAAGAATCCTTTCCTAATCGTATTTCAAACATTTCATATTTAATATAATCTTGTAAAATTCTTTTTTTTTTAGCCAATCGGTGCTTTGAACCCAAGTAGGAGAGCTTATTTCGAAGAACGTTTCCAAAGTTGGGAACATGACAGCATACCACCATTCCATTATGGAACTCATTATTCCACCGCTGCATTTGTCTTGAATTGGATGATACGCGTGGTAAGTTATTATTACTTGTTTATTTTTTAGATCTTTATTTTGGTGTGTAATATTATATTGATGAATATATTCGAAAAATTTGGATCATTAAATTTAAAATTAGGGATTTTGAATATCAGCAAATATTTTTCCCTCGCTCTAACCGGAAAACATTTCACAGTTGGATTTTCAAAGAGATCCATAAATTCTTTGGATACGTCAAGAAAAATAATTCTAAACGTGTAGTACATCGCTCTGTCATGGCGTTTACGACTCCGCGATTCGATTTACCGATCCTAGTACTTTTGAATGCTGTCCAACGCCCTTTCGTTTAACTATCAGCGAAACGAGCATTTTGCAACGAGGATCTTGAGACGAGAGAAAGAGCTCGTTGATTTTCCTATTCCTCAAGCGTTTTATCGTTTAATCGACCATGTCGTAAAGAAATTATGACTTTATAGCTTGCTGTTCACAGTTATTCGAGACGTGTCCAAAGAATTCCACGACCGTTCGAAGATTCTCGAAGACATGAAATGTGATATTTATTTATAGTCTCTTTTATACATTTTCAAATATTTTATTACACCGTTCAATTAATTGTGTCGAAGTTTTATTCTTAAATAAATATCGTGAAATTTTTCGAATTATTATCTATCCTATAGATTGTGGACGGATTTTATTAAATTTAATAAAAATAAATGCAACGAGATATTGAATTTTGAGAAAGGGTAATTAATCCAGCGCAGGATTCGTTCCGCTATACATCAACGTAGGATGAAAACCGAATGGTAGATGCCAGAATAAAGTGGTCCTTATAAAGTGCCCTTAAGTGGCCGTTTAAAGTGGTGCCGCCTCTACCACGCCTCGTCACCCGCCCTTTTTTCATGCTTCCGGTCATCGAAACAGGATGAGATTTACGCACTGACATTAGTTAACTTTGCTCTTTCCTTTCATCGTATAAAACGTTGACGAAAATACGTTCTTTTTTAACGTCGTATTTAATACTTTAACTGTACTCCAATTTTATTTTAAAATGCATATATATATTTGCGATATGCGTGAAAAAATAATTAAATATAATCTATGGAAAATAACATTTGTTTAAAGTTAAGTATTACTTGAGTCATTTAAGATGTAATAAATTGATTTTTAGGAACCAATGACTACAATGTTTTTGGCACTCCAAGGTGGAAAGTTTGATCATCCGAATAGACTGTTCTCATCCATTGCCCTTTCCTGGAAGAACTGTCAGCGCGATACATCGGATGTCAAGGTTCGTTGCGTTGTAAATGTTGTATATGCCAGTGGTCAGCCCAGCTCGAAATCTATTTACATATCAGAGGCGTGTTTTTTTGCTTTGCCTTCTTCCTAAAGAAACATCCTATAGTTCTTCCTCGTCCTGTCTACCGTGTTGTTATCGCGACTGTTGTAATAATAAATTTGCCGTCCTCGTTTACAGGAACTTATCCCAGAATTCTTCTTCCTACCGGAAATGCTTGTCAACAGCAATCGTTATCGTCTCGGTAGACAGGAAGACGGTAGCTCAGTCGGTGACGTTGAATTACCTCCTTGGGCATCTTCACCTGAAGAATTTATAAGGATCAACCGAATGGTAAATCGTAGATTACTCTTAATCGATCAAACTCTTACGAATCTGTAACTTAATTATCTTATTATATTTTCAGGCACTCGAGTCCGAATTCGTATCTTGTCAATTACATCAATGGATCGATTTAATATTCGGTTACAAGCAGAAAGGTTAGTTATCGTTCATTAAAAATGGATATTTTAGAAAGAAAGTTTTTTTCTTTCGATCTACATTTCGAAATCATTTTTTAATCATATTTACTTATAATTTATACTGAAAAGAAAGTATTGTGCTTATTCGTCATTATTCGTATATACATGAGTATAGATTTGAAACATTGAATATTTTTTTACTAATTATGTAATACAATGAATTTCGATAGAAAATACTAAAATTAATTTTCTTGTGGGATGTGGTGTGTTTGGAAATTGAGATACTGTGGTTCGCACAATGTTACGAGTCGTGCGAGAATAAATCAGAAGCGAGTATTAGAACAAGGCTAGTCGAGTCAGATTGAATTTCGGAGGATGTTAATTACCGGTGGCGCCTCTATATCCGGCGCTTCTTCGAAGATGCTCCTTCTCTTTCGTGAGAAGACTAGGATAGTATATGTGTGAGAAAGAGAAGGGTGGCGAGCGTATGGAAGGAATTAGTCTTTAGTTAGCTTCCATCCTTACCACCACCGTGTCTTGAGCAATTAGGCACGTGTGCCGAGTGCGACAATGCGTCTCACTCGTAATATGCAACACGTTTTAAAGATTGCCAGCCAGCCAGCCAGCCAGCTGAAAGTAGCGCCAAACGGAAATACCGACTACGAATGATCTTGAAAATTGTCTTGACATATGAAGACTTGAAATATTTCAAAAAATTGTAATCATTTGAAACTAAGAAAAAAACTTTTTTGATAATTATAAGCTAAAAAGAATCGATAATAATTGATATTAAGGAATCAGAAAAATTTTTGTTTATTTTGGATGATTCCATTTAAATCAATGATTGGATTTATCAAGAAATTAACTTAAAAGTATAATATATCTATAAAAAGTCAAGAAAATATTTTCTCTAATAGAATTGCATTTAATTTGAATAGGTCCTGAGGCAGTACGAGCCACAAACGTATTCTATTATCTCACATATGAAGGTAGTGTGGATTTGGAAGCGATAACAGATCCGATGATGAAAGAAGCGATAGAAAATCAAATAAGAAACTTTGGACAGACTCCGTCGCAGCTTTTAATGGAGCCCCATCCACCCAGAAGTTCAGCTATGCATTTGGTGAGTTTTTCGAAAAACGCATTTTGATGTTTTTCATTATTTAAACATTTGTTGTCATGGTTCTTGGCGAATCCTTCGAACATACGTGGATTCGACGTAGAAACAAATATTCCGAGAAAAGGTTACAGAGCTATATTAGTTCATCGATAAGCTACGTACCCTTTTCTCTACGATTTAGGATACTTTATGGACCTCTTCGACGAAGCTGCATAAGACTCTTCCCATTTTGCAGTCACCGATGATGTTCTCCAGTATACCGGATGACGTTTGCATGACAATCAAGTTCCCATCAAACTCACCGATCTGTCATATATCAGCCAATACCTATCCACAATTACCATTACCATCGGTCGTTACTGTTACAACCGGACAACAATTCGCTGTTAATCGATGGAATACCAATTATGCTGGTAGAAATTGCGAATATTATAACACATTCTATTTTACATACAAGTAAGATCAGGAGAATAATGTATCTGATAATAATCTGTTTTTTTGTAGCATCGGTACAATCCCCAAGTTATGCCGATACACCTCAAGCTCAAGCAGCAAATCAACCTCTTTCTATGGATCCAGTTCTATGTGAGTTTTTGAAATCTTAAAAGAATAACTTTCTGTCTCTCTAACATAAACAATCATATAATTGTTTTTTTAGCTCAAACAGCAAATAGTTCGAATCCAGCGTTGCGTCGCCACTTAGGTGACAATTTCAGTCAGAAATTAAAAATTCGAAGCAATTGTTTCGTTACCACAGTGGATAGTCGATTTTTGGTAGCTTGTGGTTTTTGGGATAACAGTTTTCGTGTATTCTCAACTGAGACAGGTAACCAAATAAATAATGAATGATAATTGACTTGTTCAAGTATTTTAATATCAAATAATTTGTATTGAATATAACAGTAATTAATTATTTTAATATCAAATCTCTTTAAAATAAATGTATTATTCTAGCCAAAATCGTCCAGATTGTCTTCGGTCATTACGGCGTGGTAACATGTTTATCTCGTAGCGAATGCAACATCACTTCCGATTGTTATATTGCTTCCGGAAGTGCCGATTGTACGGTATTATTATGGCATTGGAATGCTAGAACGCAGACGATTGTTGGTGAAGGTGAAGCACCTGCTCCTCGTGCTACATTGACCGGTCATGAGCAACCGGTCACGGCTGTTGTCATTTCGGCCGAATTGGGCTTGGTCGTGTCCGGTTCATACTGTACGTGAATTTTCTTTGATTGCATATAATGTTCTTTTAATGATATTATTCATATAAGATTTATTTAAAATTGTAAGTAAAATCGGTAAATATTTAAATTCGTTATTTGATTTTCTTAAAATCCAGATGGACCTGTTTTGGTACACACGACGTTCGGTGATCTTCTAAGATCCCTCGAGGCACCAAATGGATTTTCATCTCCCGAGAATATTGCTATGTCGCGGGAAGGTGTAATCGTTGTAAATTATGAACGTGGACACGTCGCAGCTTTCACCATTAATGGAAAGCGTCTACGTCATGAATCGCACAACGATAATCTTCAGGTACAAATGACGTTAGAATCATCGTCGATTGGTCGATAAATTCATGGATTTAACGCCATATTTACATTTTCCTATAGTGCTTGCTGTTGAGCAGAGACGGCGAGTATCTGATGACCGGTGGTGACAAAGGGATCGTAGAAGTTTGGCGAACGTTTAATCTTGCTCTACTATACGCTTTTCCAGCTTGCGAGAGCAGCGTGCGTTCTCTGGCACTCTCTCACGATCAAAAGTAAGTATCGCAATTTAAATGATCGGTAAGTACGATCGATCAATTTCTTTCAATTTTTATTATTCCATTTTCTATGATAAATTTCATTTTTCCATTAAAATCATTTGACTGATATATATCTCGTTTTAGGTTTCTGCTAGCCGGTCTAGCTAATGGTTCGATCGTAATATTCCACATCGATTTCAACAGGTGGCATCATGAATTCCAGCAACGTTACTGAAACTGCTGCTTCTTCCTCCTCTAGCGAGCGAACGCTTTTTCGCGTTCTTTCGCGAAGATCGACTAAGCGAGTACGGATCTTTACAAAATCTGTGCCGGAAAACAACAACGACACGCTTATTCCAAATATCGACGAGTAAGGAACTATAAAAAACAAAGATGGTCAGTGTTTCTGTGCAAGGAAGAGTTTAAGAAAAAAAGCAAGCATAGGGAAGGACGAATCCGTATTAAATAATTCACAATTATTCCGCGTTCAGCAATAAGCTCGCTTTTTACAGATTGGATAAGAACAAAAGTAGTACTTTTTCAAACGTTTTATGAAGAGAAAATATTTGAACATTGCTGATAGTGAAAGAAAGAGAGAGAGAGAGAGTGAAAAATAGTGTGAGAGAGAGAAAAGTCGATAGTGAAGACAAATATTCGCTCGATTTTCGCACGTTCATTTTCCCCTTCTCTAATATTGAAATGGACTGTCGGAAAAACGAGAAAGAAATTCTTTTTCAATTTTCCAACAGTCCTGATCGATGAGAGTTAAGCTCGCTTTGAGCTTTATAATCGAGCGATTAACACGCTCAATGCTAGTCAATTAATCAAGACACGGAAGTAGCCAAGTTATTCTCACGTTTTCGATAAACAAAGCGGATCGGAATTGACAATGAAAAAATAAAGAAAATAATTAAAAATATTTAAAAAAAAAAGAAAAAAGAAAGAAAAAAGAAAAAAGATAAAAATATAAGAAAAGGATTTGCGAAGACGAGAGGAAAATCTAAAAAAAGAAGAAATAAAAAACAAACAAAGAAATAAGTAATGCTGACGTAACACGCACGGCAAATCGCGAGTCGTTTAAAAGTCGCGTTATTTGGTTTTTCTTCGGCTGTGTACAGGAAATCGGAGCGCGTAAAAATTTATTTTTACGCCTCTAATTGCGCGGGTTCATTCATAATTCTCGTACTCAAAGCCATTATAATTCCGTTTCTTTTATCCTTCATTAGTAACTCTTTTCTTGTAAATAATGAATCGCCGTTTTATGTAAACATTATATAAACATATAGATATATACAAACATACACACACAAACATATATGCATATATACATTAATAAAAGGCGTGCGGATACTTAAAAATAAGAGAATTACAAACAATACACAGACACATATGCTTTCGTTAGAGTTAGGATAAACGATTTGGATTAAATAAAAACAAATACAAAAAAAAAGAACAAAAATATGAAAAAAAGAAAAAGAGAAAAAATGCAGTAGAAAGGAAACTTCATTACATTACAAAAGAGTCTTTAAAAAATTAGAGAGAAAAAACGAGAAAAAGAATTACGTCACTCTCACGGTTTTTCAACCTATTTCGGTTAAGAGTATGCGAGCAGCATCTCCCTGAGTTTTGAGGCACGCGAAATGAAAATGGTAGAGATAAATGAATAAAAAAATAAAGAAAGAGAGAAAGAGAGAAAAAATAAGTTAATGCGAGACAAATGGAATTCTCTTCTTTATATACTCTGCCGTCCGCAAAGCTTTTATATAATCCATATAATCTATGCTAACAAACACTTTCCTGAATCACTCCTGCTATCTATTTAAGATCCCATTCCCCCATAATCCGACTTACTATATGCACTTAAGAAAGCCTTTCCCTGTTTACTACACACCTTTTATCCTTGACCTACCCTTATCCAACATTCGCGTCCTTCGAAAAAAGATCCTAATTTTATCAAAGCCGTCCAGCTTAACTTTTTGCGAGGATATTTCTTGGTATTTTCGCACACGAGATATATAATCAGCAGATCGATTACATTACATAGGCTAAAGAAATGTGTGGTTTTAAACATCTCGAATTCATTCTGACATTGGTTCTTTGTATCATCGAAGGATCTACATTTCTTCTTTTGCTAATGGGCGTCGCGCGCCCATCGTGAAAGTTGATATTGTGTGATAGATAGAATGAATGAGAGAAAAAAAAAGAGAGAGAAAGTATATTACGTGTGTAAGAGAAATAACGAGAGTTCGAATGATTTAAGATGACAGCGAAATATCTTGATTAGAAGAAAAGAAAAAAAAAAAAGATCGATATTAAATTACTCTGAAATTGATTTTTAATAGAATTTGTACGAAGTCGTTTTTACATGAGAAATAAATAAAACAGAGAATGATCACATTGGAAATGAGAATATGATCATTTTGCCGTATTACTTTTCTCAATAGATCAAGATTTTTCGTAACTCGAAAATAAAGAACTCTCGTGGTATGGATGCTATTGAAAAAGATAAATAAAAGCACGTATAACTTCTTCGAGTCGTTTGCACTTAGTCTTTGATGCACGCTTTCTTCGAGCGTACGACTCATCGTCCTCGCTTCGTTTCGCTTTGCACAACGACACAAAATTAATCGAGCTGTCTCGCTAGACAATCGTTTTTACCCGCGCGAGAGCACGCTAATTACCGCGATAGAAAAAGACAAGTGTTGATATCGGTTAAGTGTGTTATAGCATTTGCATTTTTTTCGAAGACTTCAGGGAAAGGTCTTTGTGTTGCGAGGTGGGACGAAGGAACGAAAATAGGTGTGAAACAAATTCTGTACGAATGAGAAAGAGAGAGTTTTCTTCAAAGAATATAACAAAAATCATATGCGGAATTCGTGTTTACGGACTCGCGGAGGCTATTTTTCGCGATTCCATTGAAGTACAATAGGATTCGTTATATTAAGAATAGTTGGACAAAAATGGATTTGAAAATCGATCTTCTCATTTTGACGATAAAATTAAATTAAGAATTTTAACATTAATCTTCATATCTTCGTAAAGTTTTATACTTTCGTTTGAAACTCCTTTTATGCATTTATCTCAATGATCTTAGATATTTTCTATTACAGATATATAATTATAATTATAACACATTTATTATATATTATAAATCGACCAAGTAATTCAATGTTACGCACGTCATGAATCTGCATAGATCGAAATCCATTTACCGCGTCGTCGACATTTATTTAAAAGGTTCGAATGATAAACAGCTCAGGATGCTAAGCTAGTCAGAGACGACTTCTCTTTTATAGAAGCAGAGGACAAAGATGAAAATAGTCGCGAACGAGGGTCTGCGTGGTCCGTATCGATCATAGATGTTGATATAATATTTAAAGGAATTCTTAACGCTGTTATTGTCTACGGCTTAAGTGTAAAAATTGTAGGATCGCATGGTGCCGTCGTTTGTACTGTTCGAATTTCACGCAATTCAACTGTCGAGAATTAAATATGAAAATCGATGCACGAAATTGCGTTGATGCTTGCATCCGACAATGGATCGATCGATCCTCTCGATCGCTTCTCGTACGTATGGTAATACATCATTATTGATGATGATGATGATGATGGTGATTATAATAATTATTTTTATTATGTTTATTATAACTATAATGGTTATGATTATATTACTTTTATTGATATAATTACTAGTATTAATATAGAAAGGTAAGGAAATCTTAACAAAAAATAATTAAAAATAAAAATAAAATAAAAGATAATGTTTCGTGTGCAACGTGTTAAATAATGGTAATATTCGCCAAATCGTTGTGAATGCATTCTTTTCTGATGATCGTAAAATGTTTCCTTCGCAGGAGAAACAAAAAATGGGATTTAATTATTATAGGCGCGATAGGGGAAACATGTGTACGTGTATGTGTGTGTGTGTGTTAGCGAATGAAAGGAAACGAATGAAAGATACGACGAAGGTCGAAGAAAGTGGTGGCAATAGGAAAGAAAGAGTCGTGCCTGATGCTTGTAAGCACAGTATGATTAGTTTTCTCGTAAACGTGTAAGAATGTATTTCTATCGCCCATGTAATCCTTTTACGTGTACTTAAATGTACAGGCGCATATTATCGACGTCTTATTTTCGCTACTAATGAGAGTGTGAGAGAGAGTATATGAGAGAAAAAAAGAGAGAGAGGAATGTATGAAGAAAAAGAATAACGTGGAAAGTCACACACGTAACAAACACATACATACACACACACATACACATACACATACATTCAGGCACACACACGTAACACACTACTACGTAAACGTTTATCAAGCGATTTCCTGCTTTCCCTCTCGACCTAATGTTTTTCCGCCGACGTTAGAAAGAATCCAATTGTTATTATTATCATCATTATAACAATCAGTACGATAACAAAGGAAATTATTCTACTAAGATTTTCTTTTTCTATCGAGCGACGTGGGAAAAACTTTCGTTCGAGAAAAGCAGTAATTTAAAAACATCGTCGATGAACGTGTCTCTAGTGGTGCGAACAAATTTCATGTAAAATGATAAAAAAAAGAAAAAAAGAAAATAAAAAAGAAAAAACAAAAGGAAAGCAACAAAAAAAAAAATAAACAAAAAGAGAAGAAAGCAAAATGTGACGTGAAAAGAAGAATTTTTATATTTGTTTATAGATGTGTGAGAATGCTGCACTTTTCGAGCATGTGTTAGTGAATTCCCTCCATATTGCTATATATAAATACATATAAAAGGAAGTTAAAAGAAGCAACAACAACAAAAAGAAAAAGAGAATAAAAAGTAAAAATGAAGAATGGTAAATAACAAGTCGATTTTCTGTCCGAACTTGTGTGTGACTTCAGTATATATAAATATATATATATATACATAAAATATATTGCTACTATTTTAAATAACGCTAAGTACAACGCTACGAGAGTTTGCCTATAATTATATTATTACGATTATTACATTCTATTGTCATTATTATATCGATTAGTATCCTTATTGGATTAATACGGATTATGAATTATATCGAATAAACGTACTTAACATTACGGATGAGCAAAGAAAGTGGAGGAAAAAAAAAAAAAAGAAAATAAGAAAAACACGATGAAAAACAAATAAAAAGAGAAAAGTAATAAAAGGAAGAAAAAGATAATAGCTTGGGGGAGGGGAAGTTAGGAGTATTACTATAAATTTGTATATGATACATATGTAACAAGAGAACAAAAAAAAAAAAAACAAAGTTAATGCCCAAATTAATTAATGTTCTTGCGTGTTGAGCAAACGATAACAGGGATATGTTTTACTTAATTTAGATAATCGGTCTTTAAACTATTAGGCCGATATTAAAAAAAAAAAAAAAAAAAAAAAAAAAAAAAAAAAGAAAAAAATAAAAAGAAAAAAGAGAGAGCTACGAAGAACATAAATCAGTAGAGATACTCTCGAGCTCGTAAAAAAAGGAACATTTTCTTAATCGATTCGTTCGTACCTACACGAAGGGCTGCCTGTAGTATTATTATAAAACTATGATAGAGATTAATCGACGTGTTCGTAACGATTCATCGCAAATTTCGAATAGGAAAAAATTGATGAAAGGAAAAGAATGAAGAGAAAGTAAAAAATAAAAAAAAAATAAGAAAATCGATTAGACATTTTCGTTTTGAATCGTTTCGAATACTCGCCTTCATCGATCCTTCGTTTCGTTATTCGCGGCGTTTAAGAGCGACGGGGAAAAACGAAAGACATTCCGAACAAAAAATATAACTGCAGGACATTACGAAGGAAAAGAACCGATTTTTAGTCCGATCGTTTTAGCGGATAGATTTGTAAGATCGGAAGAATAACAAACAAACCAAAAGAAAAAAACAAGAAAAGAGATAAAAAAAAAAAAAACGAATTAAACGATTCAATGAGTGCATAAACGTTACTGGAAAAAAATGCTTGCTTTACGATTTCGCATAATAGTGTTTTTAAATATTGCAGTGAGGAATATCTGAAAAAAATTGGAGCTTAGATGCTCCGACTTTACTTACCGTAAGATCGTTCTGCGGTATCCCTGGTGTGTTCCTCTTTAAAATCTAATGTTATGTAGATCGATTTTGTATAATTCTTACGAATTTAATAAAACTCAAAATCCCCCCCGCGTTTAAAAGATGATATAGATGAATGAATTGATAAAAGGAAAACAAAAGGAACCAAGAACGATCTTTGAAAGATCTTTGATTTTCCGACGAAGCCAAAATCGTAATTAAAAAATCGTTGATCGATAGGAATGAGTCGTGTGATTTTATCGAGTTATCGTTTTTTCGCGAACAAAAAGATAAAAAAAGAGAAAAATAAAAATAACATCCGAGAGGAGGAGAAATACGGTGTAGAAGTTTATTCCCGCCACTTTTAACGAGTACGTATTAGGTAGAAAGGTACTTAAGTCGTTGCTACCACATTACCAATATAAGCTCCATTGCTTATTTTATACTTAGAATTATCGTAACGTTTCGATTTAGAAGTAACATAATGGGAAAGTTGTATCTTTAGCTTAAGATTAGATTAAAATCTGTAAACATAAGTAGTCAAATAAATGAAAAATACATTTGATGTTGCAGACGATTTTTCTTATTTGCCAAAACGCTGAGAAATATTTTTTTTTTATAAATATTATATATAATATATTTGCATATATTATTTAAAAAGAGTTTTTTTAATATTTGTTGTATTTTCCACATAATACGTTTTTAAGGAAAATTAAGATCGATAAAATGTAATTATGGAGAGTAATAACAAATTTATGATTTATATGGATTTATTTGTTTTCTTCACAATCACAATACAGGACGTCGCACGCCCAAATATACAGTATAGATATGTAATCGTTAGAAAAGTATGCATATCATCGATCTAGAGTCATTTATTACATTCATTAATAGAAGTATATGCGTTTCACGATCACTTTCGTGTTGAAAAAGGGATTTTCATTATGAACGAGGCTACCATGCAATCAATTTATACGATTAACCTTTCGTTATTTCAATCAGGGATGGAAAACCTTCTTTTAAAGTATTGTACTTTTTTTATATACTTATTTATTTTTACTTATTTATACTTATAGATATAAAAAAAAGTATACGTAAATGTAAAAGTACAATAATTGTTAACTTTCGATATGCAATCGTGACAAATGTTTCTAATTAATAGTTGATCCTTTTATCTTTTCATTTATAATCGACATAATTTAACAAAAAAGACGGAATAATTTGCTTACTAAATAGTACGTATTTTTGTTTCTCTCAATATAAATAGTATTATTAAATAGTATTTCACCCACTTTCGGGATTCAGTCGTTTCCATCCCTGTTCTTTCTTAAAATGGTTCTTCAATACGTAGAGTCCTTACGTATTTATAATTTATAGGTGGAAGGTACGCGTATACTCAAATGCCATCTATCATTGACAGGCAGTGACAGATTCTCAGAAAAGTTTTCTTATTTTTCGTGTAGTTTACACGATGCTCATTAAAAGTAGATATTATTATGTTGATCTTCTTTCTAATATATCGATTATTTTGATATTTCATGTTTAAAAAGGAAAAAAAAGAAAGTACTTTTATGAAATTTTTCGCATAATTATAACTAATATTACTTTAAGATTTGAATTAAAGTTATCAACAAAATTAATTCATTATTCTTATTTCAAATATTAAATTTGATTTGATTAGTTTGTTCATGAACTTAGAAAATATTATTTAATTATAAATAACACTAATTGTGTGTATAATAAATTATTGGCAAAATAAAATAATCATCTAGATATTAATTTCTAATGGCTGTTTACATTTTTATAAGATCAAAAGTTTTAGATTAAAATTTTTATAAGATATGCTCATTGTCAGTCCGTGAGAATGAGTTTACTGATGTGAAAAAATATTCTCTTTTATTTTTTATTATAATCATATTTTTATATGGATTTTGTTAGCGAGCATCGCTGGAAGGAAGATAGATTCGAAAGAACAGAAGAAAAATCATGTAATTCAACGGCAGGCATCGTTCAAGTAAATTGACTTGAAAAAATTTCAGCGTAGAAACTATCATTTCAGGTATAACTACAAGCATCCGCGAGAGATATTGATATAGATATTATATATAAATTCTATGTTCTTTGTTATATATGTATATGTTTTATATAGATTCTATTATATACTACAATAATTATATATTTCACTTGACACAATTTGTTTTGACTTTTGTTCACATAATACGGTATTAGCGTTTTCGTTTATTTTTTTATTCTTTAAAAGAACAGTCTGCATGGATTACGTATATTTTGATCAATTAGTTTAAATTCATTCGTAAGATAGATTTCTTTTTGTAGATTTGATATTATTTGAAGCTTACAGTTCTTTGCTTTTACATTGTACATGAGTGATTAATTTTTTTTTTCTCGAATTTTTCGTCTTCCAGAATGCCCGACAAAAATCTCATGGTTTAAATATTTTATGCGGTAACGTAGACAAAAAAGATTAATGTATATCTTCGAAATAAAATAATTTTTACCCTTCATGAAAAACTTCGTGGACATTATTCGGTAGCAAAGTTACGGAGGTAAGAAATTACTTTCAATAATTTTCTAATGTTTTATAAGGGTAGTTCGATAAGTAAGGTAAATTTTCATGATTTGACGATATAATGAACTTTGTGGTACTTGATCAGAAAGAAAAATACTCTTCAGATTACATCATAACAAATTTCAGCTGGAAGAGAAGCTTTTTTACGTTTGCTAGGCGTTTCAATTAAGCTTCTCAGCAATTTTTACAATAGAGAGAAACGAATACCGTGCATACTAATTAACTCATTTGCATCATTGGCGTATATGGGAGCGCAATTTTTTTGTCACTATCACCATGAATGTGTAATTTTTTTACTGAAATATAATAAACCAAATGAATGATAACGGCATTATTTTCCATTTTTTCTTATGATGCAAATGAATTAAACACTTTTCTTTAACAATGTGAACGGCTGGGCAGATCAAAGTTGTTTGACGAAGTTCATTGAATGAAGTTCATTTGGATTCTGCATCAGCGTTGAAGACTGTTTAATTTAGAATAAATGAATTCGAACATGGCTGAATATCAACCAAAGATGAAACACGTCCAGGATGTCCAGTTAGTCACCACACCAGAAGTGATTGAAAAAATTTATCATACGGTCTTACGATGAATTTTTTCATTTACTTTGATATGGTGACCTATATCTATGATTATAATTCGCAAGAATATATCATTTTACTCCAACAATTTTCTTGTTAAATAATTCTATTTCATGAATCTCACTCTTGTATAGATATTTTTTCCTTTCTAATATCTAGACAAAATACGTTTACCTATAGATTTCATACGATACGTTATTTATAACATTGCTTATTTATATAATTTATCATATATGCGAAGGATAAGTTATGTCACAATTAAACATGCTATAATAATTTATGTTTTTCGGTCCAAAAAAAAATCAACATAATAATCAACACTTAAAAGTTAATTACTTTTTCAAGTTAATGTAAAAAATTCATATTTTTCTGTCGTACATTTTTTTTCTAATAATTATCTTTGAGAAAATAACTTAAATATAATTGAAAGTAGAATATGTTATCTTATATCGCTCATCCATACATATATTATATATGTCTATTATATATTTTATATTGTAGATATATCGAATCTTCATACTGCGAACATTTTCTCACGATCTACGATGTATCTTTTCTTATAGAATATACATTATTATCAATTTTTTTATGATAAAATTTATTTAGCCGTGCGAGAGTATACAAAGCAACAGCCACGAGTATATTTTCTTTCTCTCTCTCTCTTTCATACTTTGTCATACATATGTTTTCTTCATTGTTTCTTTCTCTCATTTTTGATCTCCCTTTTTCTCTCTTTCTCTCTTCTATTCTCTTGACCACAATACATACATCAATGTTTGTTAATTTGCGAAACTCACGATATGCTTTCGCATTTATTATTTATCACAATTAGCGCTCTTGTCTGGCGAGCTTCTTTTTTTTTTTATTTATTTTATATCATATATGCATATATAGGATGATACAGTTAAGATATTGTGAACAAATATTTCAAAAATAGTCGTCGATATTGAACTTTTATTAACAATACCTACTTATATAAAATATCAAACGTATCTTTTCAAAAAATAAAGAAACAAACAAAGAGAGAAAAAATATGCCCATCAATGTTTAAAATTATTTTTGAAATATTTGTTGTTAGATATTTATACGATTTATCCAGGCTATCATTATGTTTACGTTTTTGTAAATTTGTTCACGTATAATACCTAGACACGTAACCTGCTGAAAGAACATTATTACAGAGATCAGTGCAATTTGCGTGAAATAGTAAACTGTTTTAAACAGGAAAAATAGTAGTTTCTCATATTTTGATATCATGAAAATTTACACGTAAAGTTTGAAAGGAGAAAATAATAATAATTGATTGATTGAATCCTGTTACTTGCAAAATTCTGTTTTTTTTTTTTATTTCTTTTTTTCTCGTATATTTTTATTTCTGGTTCCTATCTAGTCGTTCATTTTATTGTCTCTCTCGCGCGTAAGAATCAAAGAATATTTTTCTTCTTCTTCTTTCTTTTGGAGTATCTGCTTTATGATCGTCTACTGATATACATATATATATTTGCACGGATATATAAATATATGTATAGGTATCATTAGACATAGCTCGTCTTGCAAGATTATTTACGTGTAGTGCAAGTATTATATCAGGCAGGTGTGAAACTTTTCGAGTTTTCGAAAATTCGAGAAGTATATGGAAAAGAAGCGTGTGCATAAATATCGTGTTGTATTTTTCTTTTATTTTTTTAAGGGGGGTGGGGGTTTCTTTTTATCATTTTTATATAAAGTCGTCACGTTTCAACTGGTTCATCTAATCGTACAAGATTTGTACGGAATATTTGTGGGAGAAATAATAGAAAAGAGAAGTTGGGACATGGATACTTTATCATTTGAGCCTTTTTTACAACTCTAGGTTACACTTTAAAATTTATTATTCGCGAAGCTTTATTCTAATTCCATTCTTATTAGTCTTTTTTCGCGTAACCAATTCCAACATTTTGAATTGCTTTTATTAAAGAGATATATTGTAAAAGATCTCTGAGGTGTGTTTCATAATGAAATTTTTTGTCCATATTCCAACACCTGCCTGTCAATATTTTCAATCATAACATGCATATGTGACTATGTATGTTTCTCTCTCTCTCTGTCTCCCTCTCTCTCCTCTTGAAATCTTTCTTTTCTTTAGTGTGTGCTTTCTTTATATAGATTCAACATACCAAATGTATTTGAAACCGGCTTTGTTCGTCTGTTTGTCTATTTGTTAAATAATCTGTCTCTTATACTACCATTTCGCTGTCTTTGTTCTTTCATCTAACCTGAGGATAAGGCCCTGTGTAAGTACTTAGTCATAATGCATAATGATGCAGCTAGCTTTCGCGAGAACGAAGAGGCGTTTTTTCGAATTTTTTTTGCATATCGAATATTACGTACACATATACATATGTAATTTATGCCCACGTTTATGCCTACGTATATATATATGTACACATATACGTCTCTTTTTCTCGGCTATCATTTGTTTTTTTCTTTTTATAAAAACTTACCTATCCGGTTAATTTTGCAAGTTTTATTTCTAACAATTTCGAACAAATATCATGACCGTCATGATGCGTTAAAATCAAGCTGTGCGTTTGATAAAATATCACAGGTCCAGCCCATGATTAGTTTTATTAGATATCGTAAGATTTTTAATTATCGTCAAAAACACATACACACATTCTTTCTTTCTTTCTTTCTTTCTTTCTTTTTTTCTCTCTCTCTCTCTTTCTTCCTCTGTTTCTTTCTTTGTTCTCTAATCTACGTACCTAGCTATTTATCTTCATTTTTCTATTGGTCATCTTTTTTATTATCGGTGACCTCAACTAATGTAAACCTGTGCAAATGGTCATAGATTCCCTCTTTCCTTCTTTCTTTTTTTTTTTTTTTGTTTCTTTTTTTTGTTTTCTACTTTTCTCCTAGGCTGTCATTAGCGAATACTCGTTTACTAGTCCACACAACAGTCGCAAGTAAAGATTTTCAAAGCACAGAGTTTTGACTTTCGAGTCCTTGTTTGAAATAGAGATTGTACTTAAGTCAGTCAAGCGATATGCATTAAATGACGACAGAAAGGGACGTTGTCCAAGTCGACGTCCAAGGAATTCTGCGAGCATCCGCAAGTTTGTCTTCCAATCTTTTGTCTTCATCTGACAATTCGATGAATAAAATTCAAATTCAAAGTACGCAACGAAATTGGAATAAAATAAAAAAAATCTAACGAAAAAATAATCTTTTTCTGTAATTATCTCGACTAATATATAAAATACATATATAGAAAAAAGTGTTTATTGTTATTTGATTTACTTACCTACTGTTTAAGCAGCTCAAACTTACTGGAAGTGGTTCGGAAGCAACCGAGGGAATATGACCTGCTACAGTTTCGAGAAGAGGATACCATTGAGCAACTGGTTTTCTTGGATTGTCTAACATTTCCAACCAATGATCTCGACCAATTCCGATAAAGCTCGAACCGATCGCCGTGCAGCCCATTAACTCGTTTGATCCGATCCTATATCAGATGAAATAAAATAAATAAATAATATTATTTGTTTTGTTACATTCTCTCTCTTTCTCTTTATCACTCTTTTTAAAAATATCTAAAACATTTAATAGCGCAAGAAGATAACGCATACCTATCGTAATCAATAACTTTCACTATAAGACTGACTTCTTCTATGTTGTCTGCCGGTACGTCGAAAACAAGTGCCTCGTTATACACAGGAAATAGCGTGTTTTTCTTCACGGTTGTTTTCTTTTTCTTTATTCGCTTACCACGGCAGAGAAGGTACACTTTTACATATGGATCTGATGGAAACACATAACGAAGATAGTTCAGATAGAAAATAAAGAGATCGCGATATAATGAATTGCATCTGTGTTTGTGAGTGCGAATCATTTCAAAAGTTCCTCCCATAAATCGAGAGATTTTTTCCGACCGATAAACATGATTAAATGCTAGCAAGTTTTTCTTTATCAGACTATATTCTAAGATATTTGAATCGTTAATTCATACCGCTTTAATTAACGCTTCAATGAAATTAATTGGTGGCTGCTTTTTTGCTATTTAATTTGATATTCAAGTACTACTTAAGAAGTCAACCAAGAGTAATTGCACTTCATTATCATTGGTACTTCTACAATTTTGTAACTTCGTTTCAAGAAAGTTTCAAACTTATATTTTTGATCAATGAATTTAAATTACTGTGAACTACTGCTTTTGTTGTTTTTATACATCTTTTTATTTTTACCGGATGCTCCCGTTATATCCATAGCTTTGAGGTTTCTAGCTTTGATCACTGTCAGTGTCAGCCGTCCAGCGGTTGGAAGGAAACAGAGGGACAACATTAATTCACCTAGATCCACTTTTTCCTAAAAACATCCCAATTTCATCAGTTTCCACGAGGAAGATCTTTTCTCCTTTTAACAAATAAAATAAACGATTTAAATTACCTGCGGTGCAGAAAGAATATCCATCGTGTACTCGATTTCTTGCTCAAGGTCGGTGCAATCTAACAATCCTTTAAGGACTACTTGGCCAATGAGGTCATGTCGAGAGAAACGGTCGAAGTCGTAGACGGAAAATTGTAAATAGCGTTCCTTCACTTCCTCGTAAGGAACACTAAAGAAATAAAATGACGTTAAATAAAAATAACTATTTTTATATCAAATTGTGTGAATATAACAATAAAAGATTGTATAAGAATAACAGTAAAGTACAATAATGAAATATTATCAACAAGAATATTAACTTTATCGATATATTAAATAAATGGCTAGATAAAATGATATAATATTGATATAATAAATAAAATGATATTTTTAAAATTTCCTGATATCTTTAGAATATCTTACATCAGTTTATCGAGACAACGAAGGTAAGCAATATAAAATTGATATCGATTAGAAAAAAAAGAACAGTTAAACTTACCTGAAAATAAATGTTTCGTTGAAGATCGGGTTTAAGTTTTTTCGATGAACCTTCGTTTGATATTTTTTCTTTCGATCGGGTAGGAGGTATACCTTTATATAAGGATCACTACTACCTGTTACATCTTTCACCGGTAATTCTCGAGCTTCTAAAACCTAATTTAAAAGTCAACTTAATAATTAATCCAAGTCCTTGTTAAGATAATAACATTAACATCCCAACTACTCGTCTGGGGAAAGGTGAATTTATTTTTCGTTTAGAGATACGAGGAAATGGACTAATCCGAGACTGATTGAGTTTCATACTTTTCTCGTTACATAAAAATTTTCTGTAATTTCCTTTTCATAGATGTATCTCATCGTTATTTCTCGTTTTAATGACTCTACCATTATATTCAAAATAAAAGACTTGTAAAATTTTTTTATTCGATTACTTCCAAAATACAGTTATTACTAATGTAAAGGATTTTTTTGGTTATTAACCACGTGAATTTTTTCTCTCTTCCTTTTATATTATACTTATTATATTTTACGAAAAAGTTATAATCAAAATTTCTAACAAATTATAATATCAGAAAAAAGAGCACACAGTAATAATTGTAACTTTAATATAAAAACTTATAATTAACTATATTCTTTCATAAGGAAGATGTTACGAGGTACTGTAGCGTGGGCCTTTCGTTTTTCTTACGAGTCTTTTTATGAATGAAGTTGAAGAAATATGTCAAAAGGTGTAGGTGATATAGCGTAATACATGCTTACGTTTCTCAATTGCAACATTTCGCGTACATCAACTATTTGTAAAAGATCGAATGTGACCGTAACGAGCGTGTACTTTTTTTAATCTTTTTCCCCTTCTGTTGTCTATTTATTTATATTTCTTTCTTAATGGCCAATAATTTCTAACGAACATTAGTATTACTCAATGTGTTTGATAATGAAGACGATTTTAAAAGGACACACGTGATTTAACGTAAATAAATCGCGTTTAGTTAGCTCATTAGCCTTACCAAGTTTACTCGTGTGTATCTAATGGTATTTAATGATTACCGTTAAATTAAATTTACATAGCCTAGTTAGTCGTTAATAGTAATAATCTTGTTGACGAAATTTTACCCCTCTATTTTTTTTAAATTCTTTTTCAAACTGATTTGTAATCAGACGTAAGTTCGAAGTCAATGTTAAAGTATTCGTATTTATGAAGATTGATTTGAGTAGTAAAGATCAAAATCTTTTAAATAAATTAGTCGACTCGAGATATCCAAAGGAAGATGTTAGATTGATTACAAACATTGTAGAAGAAACTAACTGAATTTTCTAATCAGTTTAAAAGACTTAATCTAATCAACGGAGACGAAAGATGATAGAAGAACACTATAACATTTTCAACCATTCGATTAAATTACTAGTGAACAAAGAACTCGATTCGAACAAAGTCGTGGGTTAGTTCTCGTGTTCTCCTTTCACGCATTGTCGCGTCCTTTAGAGGATTTTTTTTTCTCCTTTACTATCATACAACGTATCGAGTCACACGTAAAGCATTAACTCTCCTTAGAGGTTTGCGTGCGTGTTACATCGTGAATGAACACGTTGACACAATTTTTTAACTAGTTAAGAATGAAACCGAACGAATGAATGTCAGTCACCGCCTTCAAGCATGAATTTCATTTATTACTCATCATCTTTTTAAATGTTTAGAAATTCAAATGCGCCAACTATTTTATTACGAAACAACCGGGACGTTATTTATGATTCTTTTATAAGTATCGTCCTTGATTTATTTATTTCGTAATGAAATGAGAGGAACGTGTAAATGTTTTTTAATCTATAGGTTTTTTTTAGTCCGCATTTAATTTGGATATATTTTAACGCGACAATGAAATTCTTAGAAATCTTGCGAAGCTCCTATCATTAACGTCTTTAAAGTTAACCGTGAAATCGTAGAACTTACCTTAACGACGAGACCGTCGATTTCCTTATCGTAACGAAGAGCGAAATGTAGCTTTCCGGCGTATTCCATTTCTGTAGTACTAGAACTCTCCGTGCTTTCCTGCCTCACAAGATCCTTTTTGTAGAGTTCCGGCTATAACATTAATGGTAAGGTTATTTCAAACAAAACTTCAACGATGGTATTTTGTAAAACATTTCTATTTATACTAAATGAGAAATGAGAAAACATGCAAGAGTGAAGCTACATTTGTGATAGAAATTTTGTGCGTAATTAATGTCTACTACAACGATCGATTAATATGACTCATTTTTATCAGGTAAAATGATTATTAAAGAACATATGAATTCAGTATATACCCACTAATAATATGATATAGTCTTTGAACGTATTCGTATTATTTCATGTATATTCAAGATTCTCTTTGTATTTAATCATTTTCAAGTTGTCGGTAGCACAAACTTACCCTGATAAGACCGAGACTAGAATCACTACGATTTTCCAGACTGCAGATACTGAATTTGATACTGGGCAAGTCGAGACGATGAGACAATTGTCGTTGAAAACTTTGGTGGCGCATTGGAACAATTGGTAAAGTGGTTTGACGTAATACCTATACACAAGAAACATATTTTATTGTTAGCAACGAATATTACTATTCCTGTAGCGCTTTGATAGATATATTTAATAATTACAAGAAAAAAATATTTAAGTAACAGTTTAAAAAAAACATAACATGATCTAAAAATAATTATTATCTAATGGTTTATATTATACTCGTTAAAAATTGTCGATACCTTCTTACTGTCCTTTTGTTCTTGAACGTATTCATGAGTAATCGGCTCCGATTGTAAATCCGGCAAGGAGTGACTTATGCGAATAGCATTTTGCTGAGACAAGTCACCATTTGCATCTTCGTCGTTTTCATGACGAGCAACACCCAACAGCCATCTCCAAGTAGAAGAGCATTGAAAGCTAATTGCAGCTAAAAGTACTAGAGCCATCAAGGCAACTCCAGTTCCTACCAGCAGTTGATATGGAAAATTTTCACTCCACTCTTCTGTGAAAAAATGATATAATCTTCCAATTAACAAGTATGAACGATCGTACAATAATAAACGATATATATATAATTTTTTTTAAATAGAACATGTTAGCCAAAATTTATAAATACTCATAAATGCTTATAAATTTTTAATTTCAATAAATTTTTTTCTTTGGAAAGATCAGTTGATTCTATTTTATTAAATTCAATTATACGTTTTAATCGCTCATGTGGTTGCTTAAAATTAATCGATGTAATTACTTCGATTTAATGCAGTTATTAAATATACAATATATTAGGTGTAGAACTTTGTTTCCGCCGGTTTTTTTCCCTAAATTCGAAGCTTTATCGTAAATAATTAGTTATTAATTTATGATTCAAAGTATTGTCCATCGCTTAATTCCCGGCATTGTCCTCAATGCCTGGAATTGTCCCAATTGCCTGATTTTCCACTATTCCGGTAACATATATATAATAAATGGTTGGTCATTGTATTTATAATAGAAAATGTATAATATATAATACATAGTACATGTTTTACAATTCTAAAATATAATAATAAAATTTTTGAAAGATGTTTGCACTTTAGAGACAAACTTGAAACAAACAATTTTTGAGATTCATATTAGCTAGAAGAATGAATAAAGAACGAAGTAACGCAAAAGTTTATTTAACTTCATAGAAATATCGATGAGAAAGGACGAAAATGATCTAAAGTAATTTCTAAGTAAGTTATATATATATATACTAAAGAAGATATCTTGACGTGCGAAAATTGCAAGGTGGTGGGTCGATAGTTGGAAAACTTGTGGGTTTAAACTCCTACTTGGACTACCATCATAGTAATCCATAGGATAGAATGTTCGCTTACTTACGCAACCAGCTGCTCATGTAGTGGGTACGCATCGTATAGATACTTTCCATTATAGCATAGCTACAATACCACTCACTCTGTCTTAAGATGAGCATAACGTTACATAATATTTACCATCTAACTTAATTGTTCGAATAAATAATTATTAGAAATATTTTAACGTCAGAAAAAAACAATTGAATTGTTTTAAATTGAGAAATAATCATCAACATTTGAAAAAAAGAAAAAAAAAATGTAAAATATTATATCGTTATTGTACGAGAAAAAAATTACAGATCGTAAAATATTAATTTAAGATAAGTATTGTAAAATGGTAAATTCTTAACAAAATTCTTTTATCGAGGGTATTGAATAATAGTGAAAGGTATTTCGCATCTATTACACAGGCAGGCATCGTAATAATATAAGGAATAAATCGTTAAGTTGTGCCAATATTCAATGTTAAAAAATCTTGTCTCCAGTTCCCAGCTATTTCATATAACAGGATGAGGAGGAGAATGAGGAGGAGAATGAGGAGGAGTTGAAAGAAGGGGAGAAAAGAACGCAGAAAGTATGCAATGGGCATTATTGTGCTCGCTCGTCCTACGTGAAAGAGAAAGGGAGGATTATGTATCACATCCATGTCATGTGGTTACGAGCTTGTAAAGAAAAACCATGTCTTTTTTTCTTTTCTATTTCGTACAATTTATTTGCCTGTTTGAGTGTTAGCCCTTTTGTTAAAATTACGAAAGCTTTTTCTTGTTTATTAAAAACTTAACTCTAAACATTTTCCGCTTACTGTCGAAAACATTCGTTAATTTATAAATCAAAAATAATGATTACACGAGATAAAGCATAGTTTTTTTTGTGTTGTGTAAAAGATAGCTGAAAAGAAGGATATAAAGATACTTGCTAGAGGGAGATAAATGCTTTGGAGTGGCTATATAATGAAATGATGAATCTAATTACGAAACTTTAATAACCATTTTTATACCGCTAGAGATAAAATCGAGGTTTCATATTTTCTATGCTAAGATCTATGGATATAAGATATAAAAAAGTGAAGAATATGAAAGATCAATTATTATTTGTCTAATGTCAGACGAATCTTGGGATATCTAATTACGTATGCAATTACAACTCTAGAATAATCAATAACCATCGTATAATTATGTGTGTTTGTATATATCTTTATTAATTAATATCTAATTAAAATAACCCAATACGAAGATAGCAAAATTTATTAAAATATATATATATATATATACCATAAATATCATTAAAAAAGAAAAAAGGAAAAAGAAGATAATCACACTTTAATTGATTATTCGACTCATCGGCAGATACAAAAAGGTGATAGATTTTTGTTCTCTTTTGGTTTAGTAATTCCTACATAACCGAGTACTTCTATCATTATATCACCGGGTATCTCTTCTTTGATCATACCAATTGTTTCCGTTCGATAACTTTGACCAGCGGCAAGTGCAGCTTCCTCTGCCATTTCCGGTGGTGCTGCAGCAACAGCAGCTTTCGCGGCAGCCAATTTTTCAGCAAATTTTGCATACTCTTCGGCTTTAATCAAATGTTCCGCAGCTTCGATCAATTCATTGTTACCTGGAACGTTCAACTCTTCCACTATGTCGACCTTGCTCATGCTCGTGGTCAGAGTCCTTGCATACGAGTCTGATGGACGTTGAATACCTGGTGCATTGCTTCTGTATTTGTTTTCATATATTGATTTGTTTTTATTTTCATTCTAGTATCAATTTAATTATTATCGTTGATTTAAATTTTGAAAAAAATTTCATTATGGATTTATCGATTTATTTTTGTTTCTTACAAATGTTACTGAATAAAGAATTTTATATTCATAAATAATTTAAAATCCTTAAATGTTTAAGAATAAATAGGAATGATTGTTAACCTAATAAAAATAAAAATGGATCTTGAAATTGAGTTCAGGATTTAACATTTTTTTTTCAGTCGAAATCAATTGCCTACGTTACATTCATACTTAGATATAAATCTAAGTATATGTATCTACAATATTATTTAATTAATGGTTAATTACTTTCGCATCTCCAAGTGTTCCGTAATCAATCTGTCAAAATGTTGGAGTATTGATTCGTTGTTGATAGGTTTGTTAGTTTTAGGAGGGGTTAGACTATTTCTTTCTTGTGAACAATGAAAGTACGAAGTTGAAACATTGCGTGACATGATCGATCAATACTTGTATGGAAAACACGGAATTTTAACGACTTTTCTCGAGTTATAAAGTACCAAGATTAGGGAGACAGTGACACGTAATATTAATAGCTTAGCGTTTTTCTTTTTTTTCTCTTCAAAACTTTGTTTTTTTTTCTTTTTAATACATATTTTTAACAGAACAGAATGTTGAGGCAACATATTTTTAAAATATTGCTTGCGCAATATTTTACAAAAATATGCTAATATTAATTATATTTGCATTGTAATATCTAGACAAATTCGTTGATTTGTTTCCACGAATACAAAATGTTTTTAATAAAGAAACATTTATGAAGAATTATTCGGGAAAAAATGATTAAAGTTCTATTCGAGGTAAAAGTATATCCAACACCGTAAGCGAGTTGGCTTGCTAAATAATTTGGCGAAAAGCTTGACATATATTAACGTATGTACATAGACTATTCCATTTATGGCGAGCGTAATTTAATTCCATCCTTTCCTGCGCATTCAACGTTCTCGACGTAACATGAGTCCCACAAATTCGTATATAAACGAAGTTGAGGGAAGGTTTGAAAGGGTCGATTATTTGTGTTCACTAATTCGAAATAATGAGCATGAAAAAACATGTCAGGTAATTACATCGAAGTAGTTAAAGTAATGAAAGAAAGTAAAAATGAGAAAAGAAAAGTAAACTTTCGTAATACGTAAAATAAGAGTAGAGAAAACATTGTTTCATCTGCTTTAAAACGAAGCAACTATTGGTTCGGTTAATCTTTCAAATTAATCTTTAGCAACGTGTTATATATTCGATTCGATTATCAATATTCGTAAAAGAACTAGCCACTCTATTAGTTGCAACACAATAACATCTCTCTTAAATTGAATCTTCTTATCTTTTCTTGGTGTTAAAATTGTCAAACATTTAGAGTATAAACTAATCACTAATTTTCTCATCAATACTAATTACTTATTGATGATACAAGTAAGTATAGAAAACTGGAGGTTAATATAATATTGATTTTTTTTTTTTTTCTTATAAATAAGCGCTACAATATCTTTCTTAATTGACAATTTTCCTTTAATCAGGTCTAATGACTTTATCGTCAGGTAAGAAAACAAGGAATATAATGAAGAAATAAAGAAGAAAATAGTTAACGTTATCGATATAAAACAGAACGCATCAAATTCTCGTTATGAAAGATTACTTTGGTCGTAAATGCATTTTAAAGCCCCGTGCATATAGACAAGTAAGTATACATCTTTCGATAGATCTCATCGTCCTTCACTTTTACATCGCGTGTTCACCAAAAGTCGAGCACCAATAGTCGTAAGCCAAAATCGATTCCATGCGCGTATAACTATTGCGCTGGTGAAATAGATGCTGGTGACAGAGATAGAATGAGAATTACTGTTTGCGTCATACTACAAACTATACTAGCCGCGACCCTGACCCTCCGGTTTACTCAATTCTTCCTATATATTTTTTTTCTTTTTTTCATTCTCACTTATTTTATCTCTTTCCTTTTTTCTTTCTCTTGTAATGCCTGATTGATTATTTGCGGGTGAGAGAGAGATAAATTCTATCAGAGAAATCTATTTCTTAGTAATCATACACTGAATCGTTTACAGAGAAATACGATAGCTTTACGACTCATACAAAGGATCCCAGAATTTCAGAATTCTACGTATCTCATTCAATCGAAGTAATTTCACTTTCTATGCTCTTCATCTAGCTATCCCTATTCATCCCTTCCTTCTATGAAATTACGAGCTCTAAAATTTATGGTTTAATATTGCATGTAACAAGAACTATCAATTGTCTAGCTCTCCTATCACTTCTCTCGCGATTGACATCATGTAATAAATATCTACTGTATAAATGATCAACAATTTTGAAGGGTCTGCTTTATTGTTATTAATATTTTTAGTAAAAAATAAAGAGAGAGATATAAAG